ATGGATCCAGTTTCATTTGATCAAGCGGGCGTGTTTCAGCAGCTACTTAATTTGAACGAAAAGAAGGCTAATGGACCGGATGGAATACCAACTGTGTTTTTGAGGTGGTATGCGGAGTGGATGTCGTTTTATTTAGTCATTATCTTCGAAAAATCACTCTTGACACATTCGATTCCAAAAGACTGGCTGAGCGTGATTGTGAAACTGGTATTTAAAAGTGGCGACAGGATGCTTTTTACCAACTACAGGCCAGTGTCTCTGACGTGTGTTTGCTGTAAGGTTTTTGAACACGTCATTGCCAAACAGATGGCTATTTTCTTGGAGACAAATGGGCTGATATGTAGGCAACAGCACGGGTTTAGGCAAGGGCTTTCCACGTTATCCCAACTGGTTGAAACTCTCCACGATTTTGCCGCTGCCGTAGATAATAGAGAACAAGTCGACGTGATGTGCATAGACTTTGCAAAAGCCTTCGATAAGGTCTCCCACCATAAATTGCTCTTCAAGCTCAAACGAACAGGCGTAAACGAAAATATCCTGAAGTGGATAGAGGCATACTTAACGAACCGCAAGCAGTTGGTACGAATTGATGGGTTTGAGTCTAAATCACTTGATGTTTATTCCGGTGTGCCCCCAAGGCTCCGTGTTGGGCCCATTGCTGTTCTTGGTGTATATAAATGATGTTGTTGACATTGTTAACCTTCCTGTAAAAATTAAATTGTTTGCTGATGATTGTTTAATCTATGCCCCGGTGACGTGTGCGAATGACCAAATTGTAATTGATGATTGTCTTGATGATTTTCAAACATGGTGCGATAAATGGGAGATGAAAATAAATTATTCTAAGACAACATATACGCATATAACTACCAAGAAACACGTTTTACCATTTACGTACAGCATTGGACCTAATTATTTACCGCAGGTGTGTGCATTTAAATATTTGGAAGTGCATATTACGAATGATTTGAAATGGCGTGCACATGTCGAGAACGTATGCTGTGCCTCTTACAGAAAACTGCGTTTCTTGCGTGCTAAATTACCAAATGCTACGAAAGACATCAAGCTGCTTGCATATAAAACATTTGTGCGCCCTGTTTTAGAATATGCTTGTGCTGCCTGGAGCCCCCACCAAAAGGATTTAATAAGTAAACTGGAACGAATTCAGAGACTTTCCGCGCGATTTATATGTTCGAAGTATAAAAGGACTGATTTGGTTACCGAGATGTTAAAATTAAGTGGTTTGGAATCTCTAGAAATTAGACGACAAAAGCAGCGCCTAAAAGTATTTTTTCAGATATTGCATGGTCAAATAAATATAGATAGAACAATTTACGTACACCCCCCGCATAAGCTCAGCAGCCGGATCAATCATGACACGGCAGTTCGCCCTTTCGGTGCTCGCACGGACGTCTTTCGCAAATCTTTTTTCCCTGTTATAGAAGCGTGGAACAAATTGCCGCGACATATTGTTGAAAATTCTGACGCTAAAAAATTTGAATGTGCTCTTGATGTTTACTTTGCCGAGCAATGAATATGCTATTGTGTTATTGTTCAAAGTTGCTGAAAATATCAATGTCTGTATTTACTTTCCATATCCTATGCTTCCCTCTCTGTAATGACCCTCAAGTGAGGGTTGGCAGTATAAATAAATAAATAAAAAAAGTCAAGCACCAGCCCACTGAACAGTTCTATGACTGTGCCGAGACCGATACGCGACGAATGACTGCGAGTGATCCATGACCCATCAAACGACACCGCGATGTTTCCCATGTGGACTATTTTAAGTTCGGCGTAAAGTTCGCAAACCGTCCGTGTGCAATCGCTCAATAAATTGCGTGCAGCACAATCGGCCGCGGGTGCCAACTTTGTCTTCACGTAGTGTTGCCACGTTTTTGTGTGAAGACCCCAGCGGCTGATGCCCATCAACGAGAACACATCATTCAGCGCGGTCTGTAGTTTCCCCGTTGCCTGCATGGCATGCGCGGCCGAAACGTTCATAGCAAAGGTTTCATGCATTCATCGCTACGTACGCGCGGTGAGGTCCACGACGACGCAGTCTCCCCACAGGTCGAACACACAAAACGCAACTTCACGGCGAGTCCGAATTTCTGGAGGTTGCGGCCAATCTGCAGTTCTCTGTTGCATGCCTTGCACTTAGCAAATGCCAACAAAGCGCTGTTCACTGCGACCAAATCTATAATTGTTAACATGGTTCCATCAGGCGGCCGAGCTGCTTCGTCGGCACCATCAACCACGAATGCGTGTTTCTGCTCTGTCGCTGCAGCGGACGACAACTCCGATAACTTATCTTCGGCTTTAGCTCGCTCCTCTTCCAAGTCAGATTGCTGCCGATAGATTGTATCTAGACGCACGCGACCACTGCTCGAAGGCTCCGCGACTGACAGGGACTTTGCACAAGCTCCGTGACAATTGATGTGGTAGCTAGGCCTTCCGTGGTAGCGTCGACGACTTGGCCATGGGACGCGAAGAGAGTAGCGTCTCGGGGGTTTTGCTGTATCACGGAGCACTTCTTGAAATTCGCTACTAGCGTCCTTCGCACCTTTCTTGCATCAAACTTGTGCCGTGTGCGGAATTCGCGCTCAGGATTTGACATCGTGAAACTTTTCTGCTGACAGTGAGGCAAAATGGCGCGCATGGACGCACGCCTCAATACCCGGAGCAGACGAAGCCAGGAGCCTCCACCAATAAGGAGGCAAGCTCAAGTCACGTGCACAAAGTAGCGAATAGGAAGGTGCTCTGATGCTTTTTTTTCCCACTCATTTTACAAGCTTCCAATGATTAAATTGGACCCATTCTGGTGGGAACTTGAAGGCAAAAGACGGCTCTCTCAAATGAGACCAAGCGGGCCGCGCTGGCACACATGAAAGGGCAGGGGTGCGTCGCAGAAAATGTGCGATTTAAACATCGATTTCAGCTCAGATTTAGCCAGAAATCGCAGTGTAAAGGGTCTTAGCGGCTAAAATAATGATATTATATGCATGAAATTCACGATATAAGTGCACTTGTAGCTGTAGATTTCCATAATGCAATAAAAAAAAGTTTTTTTGCGATTTTTCGGTCTCCACAACCCGTGTCCCCCTTTAAACTTGCTCAAAAAAGCCCTTCTGGCTGCTCCAAACCTGTTATAAGAGTGGAACTCTGAACAGTACCCTGTTCCACTGTATAACTGTATCTATAAGTGTCTGCTTACATGGAATGGAGTTGTTCAGTTTTCAGTCTTGACCCCGCCTTGGAGATGAGCAAGATGGCTGGATTTGCAGCATTTGACGTATAAAAAAAAATTGCAGCATATCCACGGAGTGCATGATGATGAGTGGGGTGAGGCATACATCTGTCCGTTTATTCTTGCTTCCGTGCGTCCATCAGGGCATCTGTCTGTCTGTCTGTCCGTCCATCCATCTAGTGAACATTCCAAGTACTGCCATCTCGCATCTTTTCATCATATATTCAGCATATAGAAGTACCGCCATCCAGCGGACGTTCCAAGGACTAAACAAGAGGTGGCATCGCGCACTTTCTTACGGCCTGTGCTCTAGAGCACAGGCCGTAATAACCGCTCTAGAGCGGGTATGTGCCATCGGTGGCTTGTACCTACTACTACTACTACATACATTGTGGACGCACGACCCACGCCTTAAAAAGCTTCGCCCCTAAAGGCATGTTTACAAATTACATGCTATTGCTAGGTCGCTGTAAATTGTGGGAGCGGCGGCCACAAGCATTAAAAAGAACAGTGCAGCAGCCGCTGGCAGCGGGTGGTTGTGGCCTGTGTTCCGATCAGTAAACATGGTTTCTGTCGGTCTTCGCCTCTTTCCTGAGGGGGTTTCATGCTAGCCTCAGCCTCAAATCCCTACAAAATTTATTCTGCACGCCACGCAACTGAAATTTTTACAATGCTGACTGAACTAAGTAGCAGCCAGCAAAGCGATCTTGCATCTGCAGTCTGAGTGGATTTGGTGAAAAGTCAACTGAGTCTGCTTCACCGTACACTCCTGCACTTTTTTCTGCCGACATACTGCATGCTCGATGCTCGGCATAATGGACGCCCTTTCTCTTCGCACGAGGCCCTAAATAAGCTTGCACTGCATGATCACGCTTACCCACTTACACACAACGCGGGCGCAGTAGACAGACAGATGAATAGTGGCACGTGTGTGAAGGCTCTAGTAGCCGTTCATGGTGCTGGTGGCGGGCCAGCGCAGTGAGCGCACTGTTTAACCACCAGTAGGTACTGAATCGTTGTCATCCTTGGCATAGAAAACCAAGTTTCTGTCGGACGAAGTGACAGTGTAGTCAAATAAATTTCCAATTCTACCGACATCAGTTAACACAGGTTTAAATGCACTTAATCCAAATACATCTTTGTTAATAAAAGAAGTTGGGAATTCTTGCCTGCTAGGCTAGATGGTTCATTGATATTGAACAGTTGCCATGAACCATGCACCATAAATGAAGGGCCAGTGATAGAAACGGCGCTGCTTGTGAAATTCGGGTCTCTGTCATCATTTATTTATTTTTTCATACTGCTTGTTTCATGAATGTTTGAAATTGTGTGTTTTTCAATACGTCTTGAGTGCCTGCTGGCGTTGCAGAAGAGAGTGGTGAAACGAGGAAAAAAAGAAAATACAGTAGACTCTCAGTAAACGGAAATATATATTGTTTCGATTGGTAGATGCTTGGCCAGACAGTTGGTCCTGCTTTGTTGGCCTGGTGCAAGCTCCTAAAGTTGGGCTTTGTGATAACATGAAAACATCATGCTTGCAACATGGCCATGAGATGCCATGCTTAGTTTACTTGGCTCGGCTGCCTAGCTAGACCCCATGAAGTAAGTTTGACTGCAGTTACCAATGGCTGACATTGCTATCCTTTTGTTTTATGCCTTTTTTTTTTATGAGACGTGATTGGCTGTATTTCCACAGTTTGCACTCAGCCCGTGAAGCATACAGAAAGCCTTTTCTGTCCCCCCTTTGTTGCAGACAACGGTGGCTACCTACGGGAGGCTGTTGGATCGCTTTGACAGCGGTAGCATTTTGGAATCGTTGCTTGTGGGCAACAAGAAGTTTCCCGAGCTCTCCGCAGCTTTCGACACCGACAGCGCCGAGTACATTTGCTGCACCGAGTGCGTGTCGCGAAGCCTCCTGGAGTTCTCGTCCGTCGCCACCGGCGCTCCGGTGCCCTGCGGTCGGTGCAAGGATGTGCGGGCCATGCGAAAAAGTTACGATGTTCTGCAGGCACGCGTCATCTCGTACTTTTTCTGGCCCGCTGTCTTGGACTCCATGAACGTAGCCGAGACCGTGGAGCTCCCTGCGGAGCCAGCGAAGAAGCGCGCCAAGATCTATCGCAGGAAGGCAAAACTAAAGAAACCCTGGGTGAAGGCGAAGTGGATGCAGCGCAAACAAGCGGCTGCTGAGGCGGCGGCGGCGGCGGGTGCGACAGCACAGCAAGTCGATGCTCCAGGAGAGGACGGCAGCGCTGGACCCTCTCGCACTTGAGTGTACCTGCTAATTGTTTCAAACACGGAAACATTATGTTGAGTTCGTTCGTGGCTGTGTCATGAAAAGAGACCGGATATTAGGCAAATGGATATTTCGTTTTTTGCGTTCCTATCGTGCCATTTTGACATATGAGCATGAATCTGAGAGCTTTTGTAGTGTTTTGGTGCCCATAAAGGCCTAGTTTTGAATGTTTGCGCCCAAATTTTTAGATAAGTGCCTAGAAATGCCTATTTGTAAAATTGGTGCCTTTATGAACGCTGTTTAATTTTCATATTTAGCTTTTGGGTACAACTGGAGACAGTTATTCATGTTCCCAGGCAAAATTGAGCTTTTGGAACACTGTGGGGTGCAACCAATACTCCCATCTCAAAAGTTCTTTTCAGCACTGTCATAGCTAAAAGGCTTCTTAGCCAATGGAAAGGCCGATTAGCCTCTGCACATGTATTCATTCGCGCCGCGTCGTCTGCTCGATATCTCGGCGCTTACTCGCATGCGTATGGAACGGGAGGTGCTTCTGTGCAGCCGCAGGACAATGAATAACAAATGCGAAAACGTGGAGTGTGATAAGGGAAAGAAGAGTGTAGATAAAAAAAGTCCACGTGGTTTTTGTTTTGTTTGTCATTTACTTAGCGGCGCTTCACTAGGTCGCATAAGAATTTTTACGTACACTTGAAGTTGTTGCATGTCCGATGAAAAGCTTTGCAGCACTATAATCTATATAATATCTTGATTGGTTCACTACAAGCCTCGAAAGCAAGATGTGAGGAGGTGAGCTTAAAACTTTTGCCTCTCGTACGCTGTGGATTTCGCTAGCCAAATGGCTCCCCTGCCCTCTTCGGTATCGTAGCATCTCTGAGCCAGAAGGCCACACGACGCAGACATATCAACACGTCATGCGCAGGCAAGCACAGATCGTGCACGCAATCTATGTTGTCATTTCGACATTCTCTGTATTGTACTGCATGTTTCTATTGGATGGAACTATCTATGCGCGCACGTTTGGAGAGGCTGCCAGGATCCTGTACCTTCACGGCGATACACAGCGTCGCACCACTAGAACTGCTATAAGGGATGATGCACCAAAAACATGCCAAGCATTGTGAATGCTGGCACCGGCACTATGCGAGAATGGTGAGAACTCCAACGCAAAGGAACTTGCTCGATACGAAGTTACAAATAATAGTGTGCGTTGATTCCGTTTGTATGCTTTAAAGTATTTCTGCCAACATTCATACTTCTAGGCAGGCAGCAGTGTATACACAAATTACTCACGTCGCCTTGAATAATTCTCGGTGTCACGTACTACTTAGACGTGCTTGTATGCGTCACCTCCCCCATGTTGGGGCTGCGCCCGGGAGATGATGGTCAAGCAGCGTTGAATCTGACATTTCACCTTTTCTGGGGCGTGTAGCATTTGCAAATCTTGGCGGATGAGACTGGGAGCGCCCATTGCATGCATTCCTCTTGCCTGCTCGAAGCTCTCAAACCTGGTTGAGGGCCCTTTAAGGTGTTCACAGACAGAAGAGAAATTAACTCTGTGCAGTTAAACCAAGTTAATACGAGGCAAAATGGCCTTTCTGTCCTATTGGCGCTCTGGCTATTTGCTCCTGTGTTGCCCTTCTCAGCCATGCCGAAAAGAAAGACCCAGGAGCGTGTTTATTCGACGGTTGATACTCAACTTGCCATGCTAGACTAGAAAAAGGGAGACCATATTTTTCGAACTCTGTGGGAAAAACATTGCACGGCTATGCTAAGCTATTGGCACCATTGTACCGTCACAAACTAAAATATTTATGTTTGCTTTTTTGTTGTAGACACAGATCCCGCACCTATTTCTTCAAAAATATGAATTGTGTCGAAATTCATTGCGCCTATATTTATGATTTCAGAGACCTAAAAGAATGTTTTACCCGCCTATTTATGGCGCCTGAAATCTAGTTCTTTAGTGCCTATGATTCCGGCTTCTAGTAATGAGACAGTCATAGTTACTGGTTGAATGTGATATTGTTTGAAGCCCGGGAAGTTTTTTCCGTGATTGTTTAGTGTAATTACGGTTGATTCATACATTTGTTCATCACTCTTCATGCAGTGTTCCTCCAAATAAATTATTCTTCTTGGTGTTACAGTGTGAATTGAGCGTTATTCCCTCTGCGCATTGTTGTAAAGCCTGCCAATCGCCAATAGCAGCACTTCCCGCTGCCAGGAGTGTTTAGTGTGTCGAATGGTTACGCCCCGTACAATGGCTGGGAAGACTGGAAATCCGGGACAGGAAAGAGCGCCACGTGTCTTTTGTTGATGCAATATGTCAAGTATCACGTGCGGCAGATCGTAGACGCTAAAGTTGAAATTTGTGAAGGAGGCATCGCATAAGAAGTGCAATAATGACACGGGGGATGAAATATTTAGGATGTGAAACTCCCATCGGATCGGGCGCACGCAGGTGTCCAAATAATGTCACATAGAATATATAAGTAACATGATCAGACGGAGACATTCCCGTTGACGGCGCAAAGTCGCAACCACGACACATGCAACTTTTTGTTAAATTTTGCCAGTATTCTTTCATTTCTTGTGAGTCAAATTCTTCTGTTTTCTTAGATGCTCAAGATCAAAATAATACAGAAGTTTCAAATAAATTGACCTGAAATTGCATTCTTGGGTCTCTGGAGGGTCAGGCACCCCATAAAGTCGCCGCTTGATGAGGCATAACCGTGGCAAATTATCTACACTCACAACTCGTAAAGCATCTTGCACAGAAGTTTATTATATTCAAAAATTAGTTCTGAAGATATGTCGCTAGCACAGTATCGAATTCAAGACTATTTTTTATTGACTTCGTTGTAACCAATATTTCGTTATATCGAGGTTTCAGTGTATACACGTTGGAATCTGTATCCTAATTTGAGCTATGTATATTGTGGATCAGTAATGATATGTGTTTTAAATGCTGCTTGCTGCCTCAGAAATGATTGATTCCCGAGATATCGGAAACACATTATTTCAGATGGCAGAGTATAGGGGGAAATTTTGAGCAACTTTTTGCGCCTCCTTACCCACGTAAACTTCCTTCTCTGTCCCAGCCCTTGTGGGACTAAATGTCGGCACTGCAGCCCTCTAGTTTAGATGGGTTTGAGGCACCTGTAATAGACCAGGAGGAGGAGATGACAGAAAGGAGCGAGTTGTTCAGTAGCAAGAGGGTGATGTGTATGCGCTGAGAGCATTTACAAGTTGCAAACTAAGTCACTGAGGCATCGGTGGGATGCAAAAGCATGCTCTTGGAGGATGTTTTCTTCTCAGGGGGGTCTTTCATCGCTCCCCCTTTCCGAGCTCCCTGACATGAAGAGTACTATGTGTTGTCTTCGCGGCGTCGTTGAAGCACAAGAAGCATCGTAAAAAGGAAAGATAGTTTACTTAAACACAACACAAGTGAAGTTGTGCGTGTGTGTTACTGCGCGTGTTGTTAACTAACCAAGTTTTTGTATATTGTCTAAGTTATTGAGTTGTTGAATAGGATGACTGAGCATTTTTATGTGAAGTCGGTCAAGACCTGTGGCACAACAGCCTTTGCGAGGACGTTAAGCTTTTCAGGATGGCCGAATGTTGGCGAATTGCTTGCACGTCCACGAGATGTACGTACCTTGTTATAACTAGTGAAAAGACTGGGTAAACGAAGAGAGTTTCTTAGTTAGCCCGTGTTGCATGCGAGTATCTGTGTTTAAGTAAATAATCCTTCCTTTCTATGACGCTTGTCTTCAACGACACCCGAAGACAACATACGCTGTGGTTCTCGAATGTGCATTCTGTGCAGAAGATCCCTGAATTGCAGGCTACCATCACATTCATACCAAACACTATATTCGAACTGTGTGCAATGGGGTTAGACCATGATGAAAAAGTTGTCACCCTTGATCAGTTTTTTGTGTTCTCTTTAGGATTGCATGGCATTCCACTGAGTAAATGTTTTGATCGCCTCTACCAAGGCTGTTGATACATTGCTGGCACCAGAAATTCAAATCGGACGCCTCGGAGGTTATGTTTACAAAAATTTCTGACGAATGACAGAAGTGCCTCGTTGTTTGCGCCTGCTGTCCACTAGCTGCATTTTTGCTCTCTTTCACGATTAAGTCGAAATTGTCTTCCTGAGAAGTGCATTCCATAACTGTGTGTGATTAACAATGCATCTTGCTCGTAATTTTCTTAATTGGCACGTGTTGTGTCCAAAAGGGCCCCTCACAGTGACAAGTTGTTCACGAAGCTTCAGGGTTTTACATTTTATTGAAGGTAAAAATGAATTTAGTGTGATGTTCTGTGAGTGCATTCATCTGTGTTGTATGCTATGCAAAAAAATAAGTGAATAATATTCGAGCTTATAGGTGTGACTGTTCATGAGCTCATAGCATGCTTTACCATAGCTAAAGCTGCATCTGCTAAGCTTCACCATAGAGAATGCACAAAGTCGTTGAAGGATACAATGTACTTACCAAGGCCCGGCGAAGCTATCATTTGCCTCATGGCAATTGATGCAGAGCCCAAGCAGTTATCTGGCGACAGCTGCAAACGAACATTTATCCTAATCAACTGCTATATCACTGAATATACCCCGCGATCTATAGCACCAATATCTGTAAGGTCTGCCAGACAGACACAGCTACACTAACACACATGCTCTGGGAATGCGAGGCTAAAGTGAAGCGTATTTTCAATGTTTTTTTGGCGAGGTGGGAAGCCACTATGCCGAGCTCCAAGCTCGCCTTTTGGCGAGGTGGGAATCCGCTCTGCGGAGCTCCAAGCTCGCCGACCAACTCTCGGCAGTCCAGCAGGCCCAAGAAGCAGCGGAGAGTCAAGGCCTTGACGTCCTGACAAGGAGGACCTCAGCTCGAGCCACTAATTTGCCGGACAATTAATAAAATTTTTCCACCACCGCCATCTCATCGGTCTTATTGAACACGTAGGCAGAGAGTACGGGGGGCTCGGGGCTGCATCATAGGGGGCAGAGCCCCGCCCATTGCTGGTTCGGGAAAATAATTAAGAGCTTGGCTTAGGTTCTCATCTATTGCCAACAGACTGTTGGCCATCCTGTCTTGCAGCTACTTCAAAGAGGCCCACTCCTTTTCCTTTCAGGCTTTTAAAATTAGGATCATGGGGCACTTTCTCCCTCCAGTAATATGAAAACTCTCCACCTATCCAGTGAAATTTCTCATTTTCCATGTTCTCGTTGAATTACCTTCATGACCAAATCCTTGTGAGAGGACAATGCAAATTACATGCCTCTGTGGCAAATATAAAGCAGTATAATGAGTTAACAAGTATGTTGGAAGGATTGGGTACAGCAAGGTAAGTGCATGCATCAGATTATGTACGAGTGTCCCTTAAATTGCAACTAAGACACCGAAGCTTTGCAACAAGCTGTGACGTTGCTTCATCATCATCATCAGCCTGACTACGTCCACTGCAGGACAAAGGCCTCTCCCATGTTCCGCCAGTTAACCCGGTCCTGTGCTTGCTGCTGCCAATTTATACCCGCAAACTTCTTAATCTCATCTGCCCACCTAACCTTCTGTCTCCCCCTAACCCGCTTCCCTTCTCTGGGAATCCAGTCAGTTACCCTTAATGACCAGCGGTTATCCTGTCTACGCGCTACATGCCCTGCCCATGTCCATTTCTTCTTCTTGATTTCAGCTATGATATCCTTAACCCCAGTTTGTTCCCTAATCCACTCTGCTCTCTTCTTGTCTCTTAAGGTTACACCGACCATTTTTCTTTCCATTGCTCGTTGCGTCGTCCTCAATTTAAGCTGAACCCTCTTTGTAAGTCTCCAGGTTTCTGCTCCGTAGCTAAGTACCGGCAAGATACAGCTGTTATATACCTTCCTCTTGAGGGATAGTGGCAATCTACCTGTCATAATTTGAGAGTGCTTCCCGAATGTGCTCCACCCCATTCTTATTCTTCTAGTTACTTCAATCTCGTGGTTCGGTTCTGCGGTTATTACCTGCCCTAAGTAGACATAGTCTTTTACAACTTCAAGTGCACTATTACCTATCTCTAAGCGCTGCTCCTTGCCGAGGTTGTTGTACATTACTTTCGTTTTCTGCAGATTAATTTTAAGACCCACCTTTCTGCTCTCCTTGTCTAACTCCGTAATCATGAGCTGCAATTCGTCCCCCGAGTTACTCAGCAATGCAATGTCATCGGCGAAGCGCTGCTTAACGACTTCAAAACCTCAACCGAATGCATTAAAACAAGCACTTTTATTCATGTATTTTTTTAATTTCTTGCCGATCTTTTAAATTGCGTGTTGTAGCTGTGGATCTATATTCACGAACTCGCACCCTGCTCCCCACCACTGATGGAGTGCTTTGGTGGTGTTGAAACTGCCAGTGGTGTTTAAAACTGCAATGTAAATCTTGACAAACTAAAACATCTCTCTGAACACCAGCAGTTCGGTGAATTTTACATTATTTTAGCACTGTAAAGTGTGCACTTTTGAAGAGTATAAGGTTGCTTTGTAGCATGTACTTGTCAACTACGAGGCATTCTTGCTTAAAGGGGTCGTGAAACGCCCATTCTAAAGCGACAATGCGAAGCCACCGGCGTCCACACGCACCAACTAGGTGACGTCATCATAAGTAATTCTTCGCCTATCGAGGAACGCGGAACTTTTCGGTACTTGCTTCGTGCAACTGGCACACTCGTCAGCGTCTTTGTCATACGCAGTCAGCGCTAACTTGAACTCTGATAAGCAGCGTCCTTGTGGGACGCGGATCGCGTATGGCAGACGCTGATGAGCGCCTCTTGCACGTGCCCAATATGCCATAGTTCCGTGTTCCTCGATAGGCAACTGAGCGTCTATGCAGGTCCACTCGGGCTGATCATACAGTTAGCGCATGTGGCTGCCGATGGTGCCGCATTGTCGTTGTAAAGCGACCGTTTCACGACCCCTCCATATGTTCACCCAACGTAAATGTGAGTGGTGGTGGTAGTGATTAGAGGAGGAAGAAGGCACCTAATTTCTGAAGCCCGATAGGGAGCACGGTGCAGTGCCTGCGGGGAATGGGGGAAAAGCGGATAGAACTGATGACTCGTCAATAGTTTAAGCAAATCTATAAATGCTCTGACTGAGATTATAAATGTTTGCAGACATTCCTATCAAAGTAATGCAGGCATGTGCAGAATTGCAGTGCACAAAAATTTGGACAGCTGCCCGCTGTTGGTGCAATGACTGAGGTACGTAAGAGTGGCCTTCCCTTCTCCGATACTCGCATTAATCCTCCTCACTCCCCTTCCCCTTGTCCACTGTATACATGCTACGCTATGATACCCTTTCCCCCTACTCAACGTCGGTTACATTGCACACACCAATGCCATAGAGTTTCATACAATAGTATTATTGTATGAAACACTACGCCACATTGCTATCACAGCTGAGAAGAAATTGGCCGCGTATCTGCATCGCATTTTCAGCGCAGCGTAGGAAACGCTAGGGTCTTTAGGGCATGACCTACTACACTCCTGACCTGTTCAGATAGCGGGGTTCCTATGGGAGCGCGTGTCCCCGCTCTCGTTCAATCGCTCGCCGTAGGTGGCGCTACCTATAACCTGTTCGTCTGCTACTTTACGGCTGTTTGGACGGCGCTAGAGTAAGAACGGCTGCATTCCGTGATGAACAGCCGGCATATATGTGACTATTTTTTCACTTAGATGACTGGTCAAGTAAGCTGTTCAGTGTGACGAAAAATTTATTGCACACTGGTGGACAAATGCGAGAATCCGTAGACTTACATAGTGTAGGACAGCATATGTGATGTTGCGTCCATTTAATTGCAAAGAATTTGTGAATGACTTTTGAAATATTTGTTTCAAAATTATTTTTCATTAGTGCATAATAATTACGCAATATGAGTGCTCTGTTGGCCGAAATATGACCACGAACACTCAAGCTGACGTCAGCGAACAGGTGCTGACTAGCGCCACAGTGCTCCTAAGTTACGGCCCTAGCGGCAGAAGGTATGAACTAGAACGTGGGCGCTGGAAGAGGTGCTCTCTGGGCAGGTCAGGAGTGTAGTAGGTCATGCTTTAGGGTTGCATATTCATGCACTTTCTAGTGAAGGAACACACAACCTTGTAGTTACTTATTGATGTTGCGCGTCAGATATGCGTAACATTTGCTTTTTGATCGTGGATGCTTCCCGTTCAAGACGGCTGGGCGTTGCCGGGTGGCTGAATAGTGTGACAGACATACAGACAGAATGGCCGGAATTTCTGCGTTCATGAAAGACTTTGAAAAAACACCTACACACTGGCCTAATTTCGCGTAAGCGCATTAGGCGCTAGACACCCGTTTCAGAAGGAACAACCAGATCGCCATCGCCATCCCGTTGATCAAATCTGTAGCGCTTCTATCGTTTGCTGTAACGCATTTAGTCGATCTCTAGACTAATTGCGTCTTGTTAACTGCTTCAAAAACTCTGCAAACATGGCGAAGTTGATGTAAGTTGTGAAATTCCGCAGACACCCTACGAGATGCTGTAAAAAAGGCGGACAAGTTGTGGATTTCCGTAGTGCGCCGAACTAGTAAGTATACTTGCTGTGGTCGGAGTATATATATATTTCCATCGAATGCTGAAAAGTGTCATGTGTGACAAGTGTACTGACCGCTACCGGAGTTCCTTTCTGCGCCAGCGCTGCAGTGGTCGATCGAGTTCCGCGCCTTTGTCGCACTGGCACCGATGAAGCGTGCTGTCAACTTTCCGTGTCTTGACAGCTACATCGGTGTCACACTACTGGCATCTATGATCGAGATCAGCCCCGTCCGGGTTTAAGACGATCCAGCATCTACGCCAATCTCAGCCAGAATTAGTTTGGACTGCGTCGTAGCGAACGTTCGTGGTCGTGATAAAAAAAAAAAAATCTGGCTCTGTTCTCAGCGCGATTAAAAGTGCTCGTGTGACACTGGTATCAGAAATTACGAAACCAAGTGCACCGTCAGTGCTATCCTATATTGTAAGGGTTGCACTGACTAGAATTGTGTACACACGCTTTTGTGCTGAGCAACCACATATTTTGCATATTTACTTACACATCTCATAAATGTGTGCAGTCCTTACTGGAGAGGACATTGTAGCATGGGCATCGGCACGGGGGCGCAAAAGAGGCACGCGATCATCCCTCCCCTGCTCCCCAGAAGTCACACTAGTACTTGCCCCTCACCCAAGCTACACCAGTGCGCATTCCCCCATACTCCACCGCCACGCAACAAGGGGTTGCAGCCTCCACCACAAAATCCTGCCAACGCTCATGCAATGTAGCAGGCATTTTGTGGAACAGTGGCAAACAGCTGTAGTGAACACCATTCATCTTACGAGCCACTGATTTTTTCGGTGGCGACCAAGAAAGGGACACACAACACAGATGGGGCGCAGAGCTATGATGGTCAGTGGAGCACTGTGTTCAGTACATGTTTCTAAAGTATCTTGCCAAGACTAATGGTTGGACCCTCCATGCTCTGCGTAGACTTGTTTCATGTGCGTACGATTGTTTCGTCATTTGCAGCCTATTTCATTCGACTCTAGGACAAAGGCCTTGCACAGTGATCTCCAGTTTACTCCGGCATGTGTGAGTTGATTTCATTGTAATCCTGCGAATTCCTTAATTTTTGTCACCCAATCTACTATGCTGCAATCCTCAACCGCTTTTCCCATTCCCTTGATCACCATTTCGTTGCTCTAATCGACTGCACTGGTTGCCTCTCCTACGCATTCAGTGCTTGGCCCATCTCCACTTCTTTTGCTTGAATACTGCATTTCGGATGGAGGCGGAAATGTTGTAGGCCCGTGTGCTCAAATTTAGATGCACGTTGAAGCACGGCCGGACTCGACTCCTTCTCCGGCGCTCCCCTTACGGCCTTCGCATTGGGGCGTTTTGCTGCCTGCCGCCGCAAGTTCGGAGTGGCGCTGCTAGACCACTGTTGCTCCGCCGCCTCCAAGCGCGTTCACGAGCGCAGTGTGCGCGCCACAGCGCTATGGCCATCATAACAGCGCTGAGTACGAGGAACAGAACCAACTGCGGCGCCTGAATTCTTGAAGATGAACGTTTTATCCACACAATACAGCTCGGTCGTTGCATGTGATGAGGTTAAAATGGTATAGTCGACCTCTGAGAGCGCCGCTTACCCAGTCGCCACCATTCCGGCAGCTTTCCCGGATTTTCGCACACGCGTGTTGTCACAAGCAACAGTAATCCATTACAGCGCACAAAATTCAGAGAGAAAAAGCAATATTTATTTTGTCGTAAGGTGGACTTGAACTTCCCGTAGGTAGACGGCGATGACTCCGCTTTCCGTTTCGCCGGCTGTCGAGGAGCCGAGGCGGCCGAGGGGCCACGCGCTGCAGGTTCTTTACGCGGCCATTTCGTAGCCTGGACCATATACGAAGGATACTGATCGAAGATCGTGGGCATGGCTCCTGGACGCAGTTTCCGGATACGATATCCGGGAACATAGTCATTTTCCGTGAAGTGTTTGCTGCACACTACAGTCAATGCGGACTTGTCATTGATGACGAGGTTTTCACGTGACACATTTTTCCTCCACTTCGAACACAGTTCCTCATCGCTAGGAAATTGGTGGTACGACACACCCGGTGTCTTCCCTTGCTGTGACTTACACAGCGGCACGCAACAATAAACCATGGCTACGCTAGTGCAGTTAGCGTGCCTGAGCGTGTCTGATGCATTGTTTACCCGAGGTCATCGAACGCAGTCAAGAAAAGTCGCAGTCGGCGACGCGGGGAGCCGGCGGAGCTTACAGTGAGGTGGTGCTGCCCTCTACGCGTCAGAAAAAAATATATGCGCTGCGCCGGTATTGAGAAGGCCGTAAGGAGCGTGCGGAAGGAGCGTCGAGTCCGGCCGTGGTTGAAGAAACCCCGGTGGTCGAAATTTCCGGAACCCTTCACTATGGTGTCTCTCGTAATCATATAGAGGTTTTCGGACGTTAAGCCCCACATATCAATCTTTTGCTTGAAAATCACCTGAAATATTCAGCGACCCCATTTTCCTGACCTATTTTGCAGCCTAATCTCTTAATGTCACTCCTGCCATTTTTCGTTCTGTTGTACGCTGTGTGTTTCTAGCCTTTTCTCTAGTTTCTCTCAGTGACAAAATGTAGTGATTGTACACCTTTCGTTTGAAGGTGCACTGACACAAAAGTTTTGCTCCTTGTTTTTCTTGTTGCAATAGGTAGGCTTATGACCCACTGATCACAGCTGGAAACCTCGAGTGCGCAACGATTATATTCATTTAGAGTTGTTTTTAGAGCGCCCGGTCGCAGTTTAGGTTTCAAAGAGCACCGGGCTGGACAGGAGCACTTCCGGTAGCAAAGTAAATACGACTAGCCATGTGACCACGCAAAACTGACATGAGCGCCGCGCGTAAGAAAGTGCCGCATTGACAGTGACTACAGTCTGCAGGTGCAAAGCCACAGACACAGAAAAGGAAGAAGCACATAGTGCAAGCGTAGGGCATTCGCCAAGCAAACAGCCAACACAAACTAGTGACGTAGGTTCGTTTGCACTCCCCCCACGTTGATGTTGGCATCGTGAGGGGCTCTGCATCTTGCTCAGTCGGATGGCATGTACTTAAAGATTGCTTTTATATATGTTCTGCGCTATGCTTGCCCCTGATATTTTATAGATGTTGTTTACATCTCTAGATGAATCTATCTCACTCATTATCTTAACTTTGAAATATGTCGATGCTTGCCAGTTATCTTTGTCTTCATCATATTCATCTTTTCCAATTTTTCACCATTATTTATAAAGAGCACCATGTCATCTGGCATTTGTAGGTTGCTGAGATAATCTCCATTAATTTTTTACGCCTGTTTCAGATACAACTTTGGAATTCTGCAGCCTCCTATAAGGCGAATGAACACAGGCCTGCACAAAGGGGAGTGCAGTCATTACTGATTCAGGAGCCGGATGGCTGGTGACTTTGCCTTTGGAAAACATTAGTGCGTGCATAAGATAGACTGTTTTTTTAGTCGTGGACCCGATCAGCTGCTGTGCTTCAGTTGTCGGGGCAGAGCCCCTCCGGAATTCTTAAGTTGTATATTTTTATAGTTAAGCTTAGATATTTTCACGCATGCAGGGAACAGCATTCGGAAGATTGCATCACCTTTCTGCGTTGTAATTTGCCAGCTTTTTTTAGAGTGGAGCAGGGGGGGGTTTCAAGGCATAGCTGTGACGTTTTCGTAGATGTCAACTAAGGTATTCATATATACTTCAAGTACTCCTTGAAGACATGCGAAATTTGATGACATGGCGTGTCGCTGGAGCCATTTCCAGAAGAAGACTTGTCTTCAAGGATGCTGTGTCGCTATAGCTGACATTTCAACAACCACTCTTGTTTTCTTCAAGGCTCAGCCTTGAAGAAGACAAGTCTTTTTGTGGGAATGTCACTTTACACTTAAGTGACAAGTCTTTCTGTGGAAATGTTTATTTAGCGGCACATTGTGTTCACAAATTTTGCATCCCTTCACGCTTCCATCTTTCCCTAAACCTTTGCTTGGTACTCCTTTGTGACTCTGCTTTCAAGGCTGCCGGTATTGCCACTGAGTCGAAGGACTTTTCATAGTGTATAGAAGCTAATCTAAATAAAGGTGTTGCTGTTGACATAACGGGAACGCATGAAATATTGTACTTTGACCTTAAATTTTTCATTGCCTAGCATGTGCAGGTAAGCCCCACTTCAATGGACATTATCATGATGAGTCAGCATAGTTCACTAGGCTTGTGAGCTCTGCATCTTGCATGTTCCCGAAATCATCAGAATCGATGCCGAAGTTGCTGTACAACAATTCGCTCATCAGCGCTTATGTGCAACTGACGGTAGAGGCCAGAGTCACTTCTAGTACGTCATGACCTGCTTTCTTTTCCCGCAGGATTTATACCTTCATCAGACTATGTTGGCACGTGACTATGACACCAACCTCTCAATGTCAAAATCGAAAGTTGTTTTTTAAGCTGGTTGCACTAAATATATATTCAGAGCATTCTGAGGTTCTGTGATACTTTTACCGCCATACTCAGAAATGCTCCTTGACTTGAACTTTGTGTTTGCCCCAGTCGCGGTGGTCTAGTGGCTAAGGTACTCGGCTGCTGACCCGCAGGTGGCGGGATCAAATCCCAGCTACGGCGGCTGCATTTCCGATGGAGGTGGAAATGTTGTAGGCCCTTGTGCTCAGACTTTGGTGCACTTTAAAGAACCCCAGGTGGTCTAAATTTCCGGAGCCCTCCACTACGGCGCCTCTCATAATCATATGGTGGTTTTGGGACGTTAAACCCCACATATCAATCAATCATGACTTGAACTTTGCTTGCCACTTCCTTCAATGCAGCGCGTTTGAAATGTGTTTGCGCATTTGTACTGCATTGGCACAGCCTAAAGTAGCGCGATCGACATGAGTTTGTGCTGCATTGACAGGGTTCAGAGCGGTCCTTGAAACCCTTGAAAAGCCTTGAATTTTCAAATGGCATTTTTAAGGCCTTGAAAACCCTTAGGTTTGTTTGAGGTCCTTAAATGTCCTTGAATTTCGTCAATAAAAGTCTCGTTAGCCATAATTTAGTGGATTTTGTGTGCTTGCCTGGCAACCATGTCTTCTCAAGGCAACAAACCATCCAATCCAATCTGTTTCTCTAGCCGTAGAGCAGTGTTCTAGTACAGTGTACTGTTCTAGTACACTGTAGTTGTGGTAGTGCCTGCTTGGTTACTGCAGCAACGGAGCTAAGCTTGGCTTTTTTGTGGAGACTGTGCCAGTGTGTGTGGATATCCTTAGTCGCGTTGCTTATGATGGAACTATGCCGGACAAGTGCAAATTTCAGCCGTCTTGGTCATGAATTGCTGCTTATAAAGAGTGGATTCCACCAGATACGTTAAACTCTTATCAGGCAAAGTCTTGCCATGTAGGAAGAGCTGCGACGTGTCATCACTAGGAGAGTCTGCCCTTAAGAGTCACATGAAGAGTACGAAACACATTGAGAACACAGAAGCGACTACAGTTAATGGTAACTTAAGTGAGTTCGGGGTGCCAATCATATAAATAAAATAAAGTATGAATTTTTATGCTGTAAAAAGTGGTGTTGTCATTTTTTGTGGTTTCAAGCTTTATTTTAGGTCCTTAAAATATATTTGGTAGGTCCTTCAAAGTTCTTGAAAACCCTTGAATTTTGTTTCACTTAAGTGCAATGAATTCTGATTGAAGATCTTGGAAAGCCAAGTTCAAGTCATGAAGCGTTTCTCAATACGGAGGTTAGATTCTCAGAACAAGTGTTTTCATTTAGAGCTACAGTATGAATATATCTAGAAGTATAAATGCAGTGCTGTTCTTTTGCATACTTTTTATTGCAAGTGAAATGATTCCCGCTGCACACCAGGCAAAAAAATTTACTAAATAAATTTTCACATGTCGATGTTGCTGCTCAGTTCTCATGTCTTAATATTTTTGTGTTGTTAGAACCAGCAAAAGTTCAAGGCTTTTTACATAGCAAGTGGTGTTGGGGTTCGCTTCCGTGCACTGTAATTATTTTATTGTCACGAAGGTAAGGGCGATGCCAGGGAAACACCCGTAAGGGTAAAACACTTTTGAAGTGCAGATGCATTTTCTGACTTGAAGATGGCATAATGCCATCCCTGTTTTAGTGCTCAAGAAACAGCCGAGAAGCAGGGCTGTGCCACAGTGTAGCCAGAAATTTTAGCCTAGGATAAAATGACCAGCTTGCACTCTTTGCTTCTCCTTCCCTGTACCCGTGTCATCGTAGGAATGATTGCAAGGTAGATATGCCAAAAATTGATTACAATGCATTTTTTAAATAGCAAATTACATAATCTTGTAATAAACAGCTTGATGTATATAATCACTGCCCAGCTCTTTGCTTTGGTTTGGTTAGGTGGAAAGAGTATTCTGCGAGAGCAGCCAGACCGGTGCAGAATTCCATGGAAGAGGCTGTACTACCAGATATTCATCATGTTGACCGAGCAACCCAAGATCAAGGAAAGCCTGTTTCCCCAGGCTTCTGTGGCACTCTTCAAAGTGATGCAGTATCTGCAAAGGAGGAGCAACCTCTTGGGACCATCAGTCATGATCACCTTGAACCTTTAGCAGGACTCGGCGAAACAATAGGACAGGCTGAAGCTGTAAGCGCATGCCTTTGTGATGTCAAATTTGTTTTTGCATTTATCTGTGATTTCACTCATACATAAAGCATTGTTACGTGTACATTACAGCCTGTTTCAATTGTGCATACCCCTACAGGCATGCCAAACAGAGCCAGAGCCCTTAGGAAATCTAGTCATCCTTCTGTCAACAACAGATGGGTCCGAGGCGTCGACTCAAGTTTCTCACATCGTACAATGTGACAAGGTACAGTGATTGTAACACGCTTGCTGTGTTTGTTCCGTGCTTCCAGCGGTCTTGGTTTTTGTCATAATGGTTGTAGCAGTAATTTGCGGTCTGGCCTTGCATGAGCACATTAAAGCATGCATTCCTAGTGATTGAAATATCCAAATCGCCGTCATAATGTTTCGTGGCCCGACTGCTGTAGCCTATGCGTTTAAATCGAGGTGCACGTAAAGCATTACTAGTGTTCAGAAGTCCAGAATTGTCCACTATTGCAAGCCTCACGATCATAATAAAGAGGCTAGGTAATGCTTTTTCTGGTAACCATCAAATGTTTTTACTATTAGAGTTTATGGTTTCGTGGATCGATTGTCGCGAAATGTTTTAGAAATTTGTCTGCTATGAACAGAGTTACCGAGACTTGTTGCATGCTGCAATTGCTTTCTCACTTCTCTGGTCCCTACGAGCACGGTAGAAGCTAAGCAGGGACGAGTGGCACAGAGTAAAGATGTTATGACCTGCTAGATGGTACGTTAAAGACCCGCAAGATGCACGACCTGTCCAGTTTAACTAGGGGAAGTTGGAACCTTTGAACCACTCGCACCATTCCCCACAGTAAGGACCGGTAGTTCTTTTTTTTTTTTTTATAAATCAAACAGAAACAGACAAGTAGCATTTATTACATCTCTTTATGCATGGAAGGTTCTTCTTTTATTGCAGCTATTTTAATTAGTAGTAATTAATTGTAGTGAGATCCTGTCACATCATCGGAATTATTTTCAAAATATCCCACTCATGCAGCCCGTCGTGCGGTAAACTTAGTTAAATTTTTCGGTAAGTATGGCACTGTTGATGATATTGCTGTTTTAGACATCATACATTGAGCTTTCACTCTTTAAGTACCTTCTTTTCTTGTCGTGAGAAGTGCACTGGAAGGTATGCGGGGAGGCAAGGCATGCAAGAAAGACATTATATGAGGGTGCGCCATGACCTTGAGCATGCGTGATGAAATGCGAACTCTTTTTTTCTGCTAAAATTCTTACGTGTTAGTGTGGCTTCTTGGGTAATGTTCGGAGACTGTGGAGCATAGGGCCGGCACGTGGCAGCACTGGGTGGCAAGAAGTGCATCTGATGCAAACGCCACTTTTGATTTATGTCGGGTATTGGCCAATATGCAGCATGTTCGACGTCAAAGAGCAGGCGCTGGCCACTCTAAACAGAGTAAGAACGGCCCTTTGTATGATTAAAAGTGTAGAGTTTTCGACAACATTTACTAGGGAGAACTCTGGCGCTGTGATTGTTCAGTCGCTGTGGGAATGGTGGGTAGTACACAAGTGTGCCCAGTCTTCATGCTTGTGCGCTTTGAATGCACTCGTGGCTTCGTTTAGTGCTGTGTTTTCGTTGTTTCGAACTGGAAAGGGAACCTCCTGAGTTTTGTAAGCTCATTCGAACCTTTGAGCCTAAAAAGGTCAAGGCAGTAAAGTGATACAACTGAACATTTGCTAAACTTGGTCTTGCGGCAAAGCAGCTCCAGGCCTTGCGGAGCCAAACGGAGCCGAAGGTATGAAGCTTAGAAAAATCCCTTTGCTGCCCATCATTTCCTTGCTGGCCGAACCACCATGCGTTGTAGCTCCCGTAGACAATAGTGCTAGAGTTCCTTCCCTCTAGTGTATTTCTGGGAAAGTAAACTTGAAAAATGGGGGGGGGGGGCTAGAAGAAATGGCTACCTCGCCCACCAATTCCGAACTCCCTCTGCCTTACAAGACTGCAAGATTTGGCTGAGGTGGTCGTACGAGTGTCTGCTATCTTCAGGATGTTTTTTCTGACCAACCCGGTGGGGTGGTCCATGACATCTTTAACCGTAAAAGCACTAGATACTTCGCCTCAATTTTGATTGTCGTGGTTGACAGGAAAACTAGTTTCCCAGTTACACAGCTACATGGTGGCCTTGCTGCTTTCATCTTCCTTTCATATTCATCGTAAAGAAAGTGCTTTGAAGTGACTGCATTTTGATCTGCTGGTATTTGGGTTATCAAACTACTGAGGAAAATCTTTGGTCTCATACGTGCAGGGGACCCAGGAGGCAGAGAGTGGCTGTAGCACATCCCAGGATGCAAAGCCCAGCTCAAGTCATGTCGTGAGTGATTCTTTACTGATCATAGAAAACAGGGTTGTCGAAGAATACACTTTTTACCAAAACACTTGCGAGGAATGGGAATAAAACAGAAAGAAGGAAGGGAAAACGGTGCAATACAAAAAGAAGAAAAGAAAAAAAAAAGACAGATTCTGACTCTTGAAGAGTAGAAGTACTGGATCATTGTGGCAAGTGGCTTAAAACAGCCAGGCAATCAGGTTTGAATCTTCAAGGAAGGCGAGTTTGGCCGAAAGCGCAATGTAGTGGCAATCCTTGTGGCCATTAAGATGGAGGAGGTCCTGGAGGGTCGTACAGGGGGCGTTCGACATCGTCGTATGCCATGACGAGCCACTCCGTGTGTCAATTAGGAAAGGGCACTGGTAGACGAGATGGAAAACTGTTTACACTGTGCCATTGTCAACGCAGTTCAGTGCAGCCATGCTGTGTAGACTATGTTTGTGTTCTGTGGGCCACACAGAACCGGTCCTCAGAGCGAGAAGGAGCACACAATCAAGACGGGAGAATCCATAATTAGGAACTGGAGAGAGGGGTGTCCAGCGATGACTCGCACGTTAGGATGATCGCATGCTAGCTGATGACGAAAATTGATGCGTGCAGAGTCACACAACATGGCATAATCCGTCAGCGGGCTTGCAGTGGAGCTCGTCTGCTGCCGCGTTGTGTTCAATGCTAACGTGGGGCAAGAGCTACTGGAAGACGTCATAACAACTCTCTCAAAGCGCCAGGGATTTCCGGACGAGCGGTGGGCTGTAGCACTTTCTCGAGAGCTGGTTCAGAGTTGCAGGAAATAGCTGTGCTCGTGACATTCAGTGAGTCTTGAAGGAGATGAGCAGCCAGCTCCAGACCCACCAGTCCAGTCGCATAGCTCGGCATACTCACTCATGAGTACACTCACTCACACTCACGTGGGGAGTATGAAGGTGAGTGAGCACCCATGAGTGGACGTGCGTGTGAACTTGAGTGACTACTAATGAATGTGAATGGGTGTGAGTGTAAAAGTGAGTGAGTGCCCATGAACGTGAGTAATTATGAGTAAGAATAGTCGTAAGTATGAACGTAAGTGAGGACCTATGTTTGTGAGTAGGTGTCAGTATGAACGTGAGTAAGTGCTTATGCTGTATGACGTGAGTGAGTACTCACGAGTGTGAGAAGTCGTGAGTATAATCGTGAGTGAAGGCCGGTCAGTGTGAGTAGGCGTGAGTATGAACGTGAGTGAGTACCCAAGAGTGTGAGTAGTGTGAGTATGAACGTGAGTGAGGAGCTGTGAGTGTGAGTAGACGTGTGTATGAATATGAGTGAGTGCGAAGGCTGAAAAATTTGTGGTGAGTGTGTATTACTTAGTTGTTTTTTGAAGTGCCAACCTATGTTCAGCTTGTGGGGATCTGAGGCGCGCCCGCGACTATTTAGCGGGCATTTTGCCGAACGGCCACACCATTTTGCTTTTTCTGCACTGGTAACCCCCGTGGCGATAGATGGCGCCACGTGCGGGCGCGGCACTAGTTACGTGCGCGCCGAGGTAGCTCTCTCCTCCACGGTCGGCGCCAGGTAAGCACGTGTTTCCTTCGTCCGCATCTTCTTTGGGAATCGCCGGACTGTAGCCTGCCTGGGATGGCCTTTGGCACCTCGGCAGGCGTGTTTACTTGAGTGCTAGCTCCGGTATCGTACGCTAAGCCCACAGCGGTGCCTAGTGCTTGAAGTGGTCGTACCCCACCGAGCCGCACTTGCCGTAGGCCCAAGCGTACGAAGTTTGCCCTAACACTCGCGACCAGGCCCAGTGGCCATCGTGAAAGTTCGCAGCATAGCCGCGAGGGGCCTTTTCCCGACCAGCGTGTCAAAGCTCGCCATTTCCAGCTGCGACATGCTCGCGGTTTCCCCTTATTGTGAACGTCCGCGTGCGGGTGCTTTTCTCCGCGCGTCCCGGGAGCGGACGTTGTACTGTTGTTCGGGGTGCCGCCAAAGGCAATAAAGTGTTGTGTATTTTGTATTTGAACACTGTCTGTTTTGCCGCGCCGCGCTAAACTCCTTATTAGATGAGCGCGCGCGGAGCAGTGCGCTACACGTGAGTAGGTGACGAAGTCGCGGCCCTGTGGCTCGCTAAGCGTGAACCCGCGGTGATCATCTGCTACGGTGAGTAGCGGGGGTCACCATAAGCTGTAGTGACAGAAGCACAGTAGCTGACGCATCACTCGAGTTCAGTACCGAGCTTGGGATCGATACAGGCTGCCGTAGCATAGCGGTCCTGCGGTACAGAGCTGCCGGAGAAGACGTGGGTCCTCCCGGTGAGGTCCTAGTGAATCCACGTTGTGACTTCTTACCCGACAGCACAGCTGGGGTTGCTGCACTTGGAGTGGACACCAGTGAGCTTGAAGAAAACTGGCAGGGGCTTACAGCAATGAGGGTCGGGCCATCATGCAAGAGGCGTCAGTTTGTTGACCACAGTGCTATCGTAGAGGTTGAGGATACGGCCGACGTGCGAGTTGGGAACTACATGAACTCGGGCACAAAGGGGGCCAGCGTCTGGGGACTGGTGAAGGTGCTCCATGTCGCACAGGGCACGCAGGTAAACTGGTAATGAAACAGGCCACGCGCAAGCTTTGGCAAGTGTTCCTGCCACACGAAAACTGTAAGGAAATCCGTGGCATATGCTGATAACTTGGAGGTAAGCGCGTTCCAGTGCACGCAGTTGCACTTGATGAACACTGCATAATGGAACGACGTAGCGCACTAACGGAAGTGCATTGCCTCGTAGATTGGTTGGTTGGTTGCGAAACTTTATTGAGGTCCTGCAAGGCGCGCGTCAGCGTGCAGCGGGCGTCTCCCACGTCGGGACCATTAGGCCAAGCCTATCGGCCTATGGTGCACGCAAATGAAGGGGGAAGCCGTCAGCACGGGTGAGGACCCAGCGAACACAGGTTTTAACACGAAAAGTGTCTTGGCGAATGCGTTTGACAGCGCACGGAGCTTCGCCAGGTGATCGGTGCACCGTGAAGTAAGAGGCACAGGAGATGGCAGCGCAGAGCAGCTCTAGTGTGGACAACGAATGCCTCAGTCTTCGTGGGAGAGAGGGCCAGGCCGCTGCCCTCCAAAAAAGCGGCGACACAACCAAGAGCTGCCTGAATGTGTTCGTTCTTAACACTACAATTTGATGGCACAGGTCACGAAGAGAGAAACAAATGCCTGTTCATTGGTGGTTGCACAGTCGTCGTACATGACGTCGGCAAACAGCACCCATTCGGTTATACTATAGCCGTAGCATTTCAAAATAAGTGGAATGCTGAAATAATCTGTTTCTTCTGATTAGTTGCCAATCTAAGAATTCGGAGTAATCCAAACTAATTCGGGTATTCACAACGCCGTACCGGATCTACAAGTTTTGAAGTTTTGTGACATTGAAATTGTCAACTAAAATTGAGCAACCACGTGGGAGTATTGGTCTCACTTCATTAAAAAAGCATCCCAGTCTTATGGTTCCTTTTTTTTAAAGAACTAAAATAAATCTGAGGCAAAATTTTCCTGTAACTGTGAAGAAGGCGACGCAAACTAGGGGCCAAGGGTGTGAGGATGGTGCGTGATTTGGCATTGCAGGACAAGATTTCTCAATTAAAGTAAATAAGTAGGTGTGGCTACTGCATGATTCTGAAAATTTATTCAAATGAAGAAAAATTCAAAGCGACATGTGCATATTTACAGCTCTAATTGTTATGTACACAGACAAGTTGTACTATCTGCATCAAATGAAACCCTAACAGCGGCAAGCCTTGCGATGGCATAGTGCGGGCCGTCCACTTATCATCATAGACAGGCATGCATATATATGCACAGAGCTACCAAAGAGGATGCGCGCCTGTCAATTGTGGTAACTAGACGGCGTGCACTATACTACTGCGAAGGCTTGCCTCTGTTTGGGTTTCATTTGACCATAATACATTAAATAAACCAAGGTAAACCAAACAAATAAATTCTCACGCCAGCTACAACATGTTTTGCCTTTCTCGGCTTTTCTGCACTTGCTTATTCCTTAGTTGCCGACTACCGTATTTACTCGTATAACCCTTGCACTTTTTTTCGCACCAATTTGATGAAAAGTTGCAGGAAAAGAGAATTACCGTATTTTCCGGTGTATAAGGCGCACCTTTGTATAAGACGCACCCCCCAGTTTTCGCAAGTTTTCATGCAAAAATTAATATATAAGACGCACCTACATTCACTCACTTTCCGCAAAGAAACTTCATAACGTGCAGTTGAGCGAGCATTGTAAAATGCCGTACTTACGTTTCTGAGCGCCAGTCCATAAGAAAACTTATACTACACCGAATTTGTGAGAAAAAAATAATGCGCATCCCACTGAAACGTTCCGCACGACTGCAGGAAAACATTTTATTCCTCAAAGTCCTCGTCCTCCGACGCGCTTTGGAATAGTTCAGCGAGCTCTGGCGGCAGTGACGCTGGGACTTCCTCTGTTTCCTCTTCGGAATCGCTGCTGCTGTCGTCGTCGTCGAGGCCAGGGGCTGAGGATGCTAGCAGGCCTGCCTTGCGGAACCCCACAGTTACGGTGGCCTGTGACACCGCACACCAGGCTTCGCGCACCCACTTTGCGACCTCGCAAAACGAAGCACGCCTCATGCGTCCAGTTGCGGTATAGCTATGCTCGCCGTCGGACATCCATGACTCCCACAGGCGCCGCAGAATAGCCTTGAAACTGCGGTTCACCGAGATGTCCAACGGCTGAAGCATTTTTGTCATCCCGCCTGGGATAACCGCAGCGGTGCAGTTTTTTGCCTTGATGCGCTTCAAAGTGAGCTCCGTTATATGCGCCCGCATGCTATCCAATACCAGGAGGCCCTTCTTCGCATGAAAGAAACCGTCCAGTCGCTTAGAAAAGCATTTTTCAAGCCACTTGCCCATCATCTCTTCGTTCATCCAGCCTTTCACGTTCGTTTCTATGACGACACCAGGCGGGAAAGACTCTTTCGGCATCGTCTTCCGCTTGAATATAATCATTGGCGGAAGTTTTTGCCCGTCGGCGCAACATGCCAGCACAACCGTGAAGTGCGCTTTTTCGTGGCCGGTAGTTTTGATGGTGACAGACTTGTCACCTTTCGGTGCCACACTCCTTTCCATTGGAATGTCAAACGTAAGTGGCACCTCGTCCACGTTTATTATATGGCTGTTGCCGATGCCATCGTCTTCAATGGCTTTCTTAACGAAAGCCTGGAATCTTTCAAGCTTGTCCTTGAAATCTGCTGGCAGATTCTGGCACATGCTTGTGCGGGCCCTCATCGCCAGCGCTTTGCGGCGCATAAATCTGGAGCACCAGGACGGCCCGCCAACAAAATCAACGGCGCCCACCTCCTTAGCTAGCGCCTGCGCTTTGAGACGCAGCTGCACCGTTGACATCGCCCTACCTTGGGCACGCTGCTCCAGTATCCATGAGTGCAGACGTCCCTCAAGGTCTGGCCATCGTGCTTTCTTGCCGCGGTCAGCTTTCTTGTCACTCTTCATGGCCTGAAGCTAATCAGTCGACTGTCGCCATGTGCGGACCATCTTCTCCGTGACGTCGAAATGACGGCCCGCTACCCGGTTTCCGTAGTCCTCCGCATACTTCACAGCAGCAAGCTTAAACTTCGCCGTGTAACTTTTCCGTTTAGCCGGCATACTGCAGGTTAAGGTAACAAAGGCGCGGACCAACCGAACGAATGAAGTTGCAAATGGCGACTAGTCCAACTCGCTGAACGACAGCGTAGCGGTGGTAGCCGCAGTAGCGGCCGAATCCGAACCAAACCGCCGAACCCGTCGCGCACCTATCGCCATCTTACGCCGATTTCACTCACTGAGTACAGCTCTCTATGATACAGCCTCCGAAACTTGCGCAGCTTCAGTGAGCTGAGAACTCGCACTGACGACATACTTTTTTAAATTTTTCCGTTTTATGTACTTTGGTTTTGTTTTAAAACTGTAGTACCGGCACGTTGAGTGTTCGTTATTATAATTATGATGCATAATTCGCATTGGACTGCTCTAGTGGTTTAAAAAGAAAGACTGATGAGCATCAACACGAGTTTCTACCAAAAAACTACCAAAAAAAGTGCGTATAAGACGCACCGTTGTATAAGACGCACCTCCGAAAATTTTGGAAAAAAACCGCGTCTTATACACCGAAAAATACGGTACGCGAGGAAAAGTTTTCACAAAAATACGTACGGTGTGGAAAAAAAAAAGAAGTGGCCGCATATCGGGGTTCTCACACTAGCAACTAACTACACGCTTTAAGAAGTACTAACCAAAACTTACCTTAACAATAAAACTACAGATTCAACACAAGGCAAGATTCATTTGAGACACAAAAGCTGCAAGCAAATAGTAGAGTTCTGGAATACTGTACGCAAAGCTTGCAGGTGTGACATTAGTCTTTGTCACTCAAAGGGAGCCCGCAAAAGGTTCGTGTACGACATTAACCTTGTGCTGATGGCCGTATACACTCAAACCTTGTTGTAACGTAACGGGATATAACTAAATATTGGATATAACAATGTAAATAAATTCCCCTTGAAAGGTGGTTTTGGGACGTTAAACCCCACATCAATCAATCAATCAAATTCCCCTTGAAAGCTCCGTTGAGAAGCATGCATTTTAAACCTCGTTGTGGAAGTAAAATCGACCTGTACATGGATATAACGAACTAAATTAGTCTATCAAATAGTCTATAAAAAAAAAAAAACGACCATAGTGTGTTAAGTATATTGTTTCCTGCGGAGTTTGATGCTCATTCGGCGCGGCTCTTTCAAAACTCCAACACCGGCCTTACAGCCACGCCACGTGCTGCCGAGAGAGCCGTTCTCCTCACACAGCCAGCGGAGAGGATTCAGAAAGCGCTCAGCGGGTCACATGACCGAGAAGTGGCACCGCGGTGCAAAGTGATTTTTCTCTCACTTACGCGCCTTAAAGAAGATGGCAAAGACACTTCTAACACCGTGGGCAACGACTGCGTCTCCGCTGCTACCCTCTGCAGCGCGTCGCAGATTGACATTTGAGAGAGAGAAAACAATCCCCCACAGTCTTTTTCATCCTTTTCTTCTTTTCCTTCTTCGCGCAATATTGAGAAGTGCCGCCGCGGGATTGGGCATAATGCTGAGAGCATTTTCGGAGCGCGGTATGTTCGAATTAATCGTTACAAGTGCTTCCGCGTTTGAATTACAGGGTGTTTTAGCCCATTGGAATACACTTGACTTTGACCGGGCCTCTGCGTGAGTTCGAATCGAGCGTGTTCGACTTAATGAGATTCGACTGTGTTTATTTTTTGTCGCATGCGTGGTCACGTAAAGGTACGTCGGGCCCCGAGGCGGTTTCCTTCTTTGCATGCTCATAGGTGTGCGCCCATCTGAGCATACATTGCCACAAACTGTTATAATTGATATAACAAAATAATAAATATAACGAAATAATTGTGGCTCCCCTTCAATTTCAATATAACGAGGTTTGAGTGTAACACGGAATCATCCGCATTCACCTTCTGACGAAATAAAGCTTTACCGTCCATCCCCAGTCTTATGCTTACGAAAGGCCCAGTGCGTCTTGGTGACTCGGCAGTCTGTGCTGCCGACAGTGGCGAACACAAAACTTGTTGACTTAAAAGTGCCTACCGGCACACCTGTTTAGTGCATTGTTTAGTGCATGATCAATCACTTTCAATTCGAAAGCAGCCGTGCGGCTTCTGTATCGCCCCATAGAGGAACCACAGAACGGACACAACAAACACTATGGAGGAAGACGTGACGTACACTAACACGCTGAAACTACCACAACGCGCATTTGCCACTTTGGCTTGGCTTGGCATGGATTGGGGCTCCATGCATTGATAGTACACCTAATACTTAAGAGATGGCGCCAAGCTGTCGTGCACTATCATCATCAGTTGTTGGAAGGAGCAGACATTAAAGCTGCAATTTTTGGGGGTGTGGTAACTAGGCGCGAAAGAAAAAAATCACTATTTTTGTTGAGGTACGAAAATTATGCGAGTGCGAGAAATACACGAGTGAATATGGTATACAGGCGCATGTGGATACATATCTAATAGTGGAGCAGATTTCCAATGACAGTACTTTGATTCATTACTGTGCTTCCTGCAAATGAACAGGGCAGGGTTTCTTCATAGCGTTTTCAGAGAGTAGATGTGCTGAGTAACTCGTGACATATCTGCCGTATTCTCTTCTGTCCGAGGTTTCTGTTCTTCGACTCGTAGCCCGGAGCACCTTCAAAAATAGACGGCAGAGCGTCCTTGGCAGGCCCAGTTCTTCTCTTTCCCGACATTAAAACAGGACCGTCGATCTCAGCTGACTGTCTGTTGAAGACGAAAATGGGAACAAAGCATCTTTCGCACACACGATGTATCCTTTGTTGCACACAGTCTTTTCATGGTATTGGGTGAAGACTCTTTCACGCTCATCAGTCTAGGCGCATCATCTGTCTGCATGTGGATAATGAATACGCAATCCGGCTCTCCCCACAAAGCCTTCCCTCCACATTGTTCGTTTACCTAAAGTAATTCTTGCACGGTGAGGAAGGCAGAACATTAAAGAGCCAGATGACCCGTTGCAGTGCAAGAAGTAGAAGTCTCCGCAGTTTGATACACAAGAGATGTGAAAACATCGAAGGAAGGGAATAATATTTCAGACCATATAGGACACAGATTTCTAGTACTCGCAGTTTGAAACAGGAGAATTTAGGGCTAAGTTTGGGTCATATCAGTGTCATTTTGGCTCAGATGTGTATATCAGAGCCAACATTATCTCTTTACGCCATATTCGACGCAGCATGACTTGGTTATCTCAAGCACGTGCGCTTGCGAGTCATTATTGATTGATAAGTGGGGTTTAACACCCCAAAACCACTATATAATTATTAGAGACGCCGCAGTGGAAGGCTCCGGAAATTTTGACCACCTGGGGTTCTTTAACGTGCATCCAAATCGGAGCACACAAACCTTCAGCATTTTCGCCTTTATCGAAAATGCAGCCGCCGCAGCCGGGATTTGATCTCGCGACCTGCGGGTGAGCAGCCAAGTACCTTAGCCACTGGACTACCGTGGTGGGGCTTGCGAGTCAATATCATACTAAAACGAAAATTGATGACACATTCTAACCAATGAGTACTGAATGTTTGGTTTACTGCCAAATATGCTTTTGGAGTGAACTGAATCCACCATTTTGTCCTGTCTCAAGATCTGTCCCAAAAGATCGAACGGGGGCTCCTCTGCCGCATATTCTATGAGTGGTGATGTTCGACTGCTCTTAACGTCATCTTCAGTAGCTTAAGCCTCGGTTGCTCGTTAACACCGGACATGCCTTGACTGTTTCATTGCATGTGTTTTTGCAGGTGACGCTCTACACGAGCCGCCGGAAGAGGAACCGCTACAAACGGTCCCTGGATCCCAACTTGCGACACGAGCCCTGGAGAGCGGTGGAAGATATCATGCTGCTCATCGCCGTTAGGCTCCATGGGGACACTGACTGGACTGAGGCAGGCAGCTCTTTTTCTTGCATTCGCTGTAAGCCAGTATGCGCTGTCAGTGTGCTGGCCATTTGAGATGCAGGTGTGTGTTTTAGTATTTGCTGTAATATAATTTAAGCAAGTGACCCCTCCTGTTATGGTGAAAGATAATCAGACAAGATATGGAGGGGTGGCCTTTGCTGAGTTATACCCTTGGCACACGGCCACCACCAGGAGTTTGACGGAGATGGACTTTCTTTGTGCTTTCTTATTAACACCTTGTCACATGGCAATGACAAGGTGTTAATAGTTGCTGCGAGGGGCTCTTCGGCGCTGTTTGATTTTTGCATAAGTATCCTAATTTCATCTGTAGTTGCTTTTTTTTTTTGGAAATCTTCATCATGCAGTTTTTACAAAAACTTACTGTTTAGTAGGTGTGAAGCAAACAAAGCACTGAAGGTTGTTTTAAATTAAAACACATGCGCTAAATGTAGCCATGCTGGCAGCGACACTGGCCACCTCATGCCTATTGTTATGTTTGTTTACAATTTCACCGTGCTCGACGACTAGTTGTTTGTGTACAGAAGTTCTTGCGGCTCCCAGGTGACTCGTGTAAGCTATGTAGCATGAGACACGCCACCTTAGAGCATATTTTATGGGAATGCACGCAGATACAGGACGCCAATGCAGTCTCCCCAGAACAGCTTGGGGCGCGGTGGAGAGCCGCGCTGATCATCTCAGATCGGGCAGATCAAATATGGGCCATTCAGCGAGCACGGGAGGCGGCTGAGAGCCGGGGTCTCTCCACCGCCCCTGGCGCGGCTTAGGGCCCATGCCTCAATCTACTGGTTAAATAAAGTTTGCTCACTCACTCACTCCTTGCCTCGTGAATGCACATCTTGTCTTCTGTATACTGCACTATGTCTTCAGCTGGTGAGGATGATGCAGTGCTGTCAGTCATTCCTCTCTCGGCCAAATGCAAACACGACGACCACAACAGCCGCACACACAGACCAAATATCCCTGCCCGACTCGCGAGGCACAATGTGGAGGGCATCGGTATAGAGAGTAGCAGCACTCCGGAGGGCGTGTATATATATATGTGACGTAAGAAGGTAGCGATGGTTGGTAGAAGCCGATGAAGAAGTGCTTAATTTAATGGAATAAATGTGGCATATGAGCCAGGCCACGTCGTCCATTCATCATAGCGTCACACGAGTCGACAGGATAAATACCTGGCAGCCACTTCATCAACCGACCATCATCATCGAACGCCTCAGCAAGACGCAGTGACCGAACGTGGACCACTCAAGTGCATGCCAACTCTACACCATGACCAGCATCATGACAGTCCCATCACCTGACCTTGACATCCTCAAGTACACCGGATCAGCGGACAACGGACCCGTACAGGACTGGTTCTACCTTTTTAAGCTCCACGCCGCAGCTGCATCATGGTCGGAACAGGAGATGATGGCCAATTCACTGACTACATCTCCGGTGAGGCATTTAAGTTTTACTTGACACACATATTCGAAAACGACGAATCGTGGCAAAAGATCAAAGAAGAGATGATCGCCCGTTTTTGCGACTATGACGAAGACTTTCTTATTGCCAACCATCTGGAAACAATCGCACTCGGCCGGCACAGTCAAACGCACTGCTCACGCATTGGGACACCAAGAATGTATCGGCCTTTGAAACAAGACCAATCAAAGCACCCTCTAACTGAAAGGCAGCCAGATCTGTTTACAGAAAGAGTGCACCCTCCACCGCACCACGTTTTGCAATTGCCCGATCGAAAACCAACCCATCACTGCACCGTAGCACTCACGTTAGGGAGCCACCCTGTGCACTGTACTCTTCATCTCGTGCACTTCGACCACCTCCTGCTTTTCCGTCGCTTGACTCTTCAGTTGCTCACAACGCTCGCCTCGCATCTCACAGTCTCACTACGGTTGATATAAAGGTGAGAAACTCGGAAGATACTCAGCCAGGCTCTGGCCCTTCTGTGCAGATACATGTGCCAGAACAGCTTGCATCGTTAGTTGCACCGAAAGAGGGCCATTCACAACTGAAATCTGACCGAGCCACGCCTGTTGCGGTGTCGCCGTCCTGTGCGCAGCCACCTGAAACTCCAAATACAGAAGGCTGAGACGCATCGAACGTCGCACGCTACCAGGTGGAAGAACCACTCATTGTGAACAGCGAAGAAGAAGCCCCTGTTGAACTACCTGTCAACTCTGAATGTTTTTCCTCGCAAGACTTCATTTCTACGGCACCGCAGACTTGCCAAAATCTGCAGTTCGAACCTGGTGATGCCACGTCACCTGTGGTAGCCTCATGCAGTACTCGCCAATTCAAGAGTCGAACCAATTCAGAAGTACATCATACATCAAACCCCGTACGCAGTTGTCTTTCTGAAGCATCCGTAATGAACGTCACAGAAGCCTCTGAAGAGCATGCTAGCAAAGATGGCGCACCACGAACCATGCCAGATAAACAAGACACCAGTTCACAGTGCACCAGCTGTCTACAGGACACGTCAACTTGCGAAAGAAATGAATGTCCAATTCTGCAAGAGGCTTCACTACAGTCATCTCTTGAGCAATATCAGCAAAGCAAGCAAAGCCAAGCCCACAAACTCATGCGACAACGAGAGAGACTGCAACGAAGGCATCGACGAACGCGAAATTCAACTGAAGCACACTCATCAAATGAATAGCAGTGGAAAATAAGATCTACAACCCAAAGACTATTCCAAGACGTCAAATTTTCTCGAACAAAGGAAAGAAGCCACAGACAGCCAGAGATGCTCCCTGCGCCTGCAGTTACACAGACCGCAACACCACGGAAAACGCCAAGAAAGATGCGGAAGCACTTTTTGCATACCTCCAGCACTCAGGCATCATGCCATCACAATCTGTCAAGAAGCACACATTCTAGAAGCAAAGCATCTGTCGCAGCCACGACTCAGAATCCAATGCATGAGACATCCGACCTTCTAACGCTACAAGGACTCCCAACCTTGTTCGTTCCTCACTACTAACCAAGCTGTGTCATCATCATTTTCCACGCTGAAGGCATGGTTATGCTCTCCAGAAGACAACAGCCAACCTGCCCCACCTGAGGTCTTTTCGATATCACGGGACTGCGTTTCCTTTGAACGTTTTTGTGCAAGTGCATGGAACTCCTGCATTTTCTGACATTATTTTTTTTTTTCATTATGAGACTCCACTTGTTCATGCTTTGTAGATTCTAGCCCGTGCATTCTTTCGGGGGGAGAGGGAATCATGTGACATAAGAAGGCAGCGATGGTTGGTAGAAGCCGATGAAGAAGTGCTTAATGGAATAAACGTGATGTATGAGCCAGGCCACGTCGCCCATGCATCATAGCGTCACATATATATGTGGGTGCTTGTGTGCATGTGTGTGTGTGAAGAAACCTGCGTTATGAATGAGTACTATAACGAAAGAACGTTTAATATTGCCAAAATGTAATATTGTTTTCACTGTGGCAATTTAGTGCTCGAAACTTTTTTTACTGACCTGCAGACTACTGGTGGCGAGAGTACCTCGTTCCGCTGCAAAGGGAGATCGCCGAACTTCCTTTGCGAAATGCTTCATTTACCTTCATTTGTGTAAGGGTGGCTGTACAACACGAACTGCATCTTCATTGCCATAAGGACGAGGGAGTTGAATGGTGTTTGCGAGTGCCCGTGTGACAGGTGTATTAGATACCAAAATTCAAGGGGGTGGTGGAAGAATTGGTAGGATGCGCTTCCAATGAAACGCTTTATTGAGTACGCATGCATTTACTGTTTTTACTCAGCCGGAGAAGATCCTTGTGTCAAATTTGATGTGTTATGACAGAGGAAAAAGACATTTTTCCAATGATGCGGCAGTGTGTGACAACTTAGAATGTAATGCTGTGGCACCAGAGTGTAAGAGTACGAAGAAATCATGCTTCACCAATAATCTCTCAGGACTTCGGCTCTTGGAAACTCCTGCTGCAGGATTATATAGCAAAGGACAGGTTCCAAAAAGTTCCGAGAGGGGAGGGGGGGGGGGGGCACTTGCTCGGGATATTATGGTAATTTTTCTGGTAATAGTCGGCTTCAGTCCTTTCATAAAAATGATGGATTATTAGGCCCATCCACTATTTGTTTTCTGGTCACATTTTTTTTGAGCAGAGAAAAATAATACTGTTGACAATAGTCCTGGAACAAAGCACGTCAAACAATCATCAAACATGGGACACTCAAAGCTCATTATAAAGAAGTAGCATCTTACAAGAGAACAAGTTCGTTATATCTGAAAATTCTTTATAAAGGTTTTTCCTAACACTGTGTCTTTTGGAGGACAATTTTTCATTTACTTCATTATGAGCAAAAATTTTTTTATCCGTGTTCATTATATTGAAGTACGAGTGTATTGCCATGGCCTCCGAGATGGTAGGCGCGCGGCATGTTTCTCTCCGGCCGTCCCAATCGCACGCAGAGAGCGTGTTTCCAGAGGTGGGCATGACCCACTCTTTTCTCAGCACCGTGGCGCTCCTTCGTATAGTCGAAAAATTTGCCGCGCTGCTGGCAAAGCTTGCATGTGGCGAGAAAAAAATGGTTTTGCACTTTTATATAACTTGCACTTATTTGGGGATGTCAGGCCAAGGTGTACAAGAGGCAAAGTCAATGCTTGGGTGTATATATTCTCAAATGGGCTTTTTACGCTGCCCTTATTAGAGCACTTATAATTGCGATGCCTCTGCAAGAGATCCGCATGTGCTGGAAACTTACTGTACTTCGAATGTTGTAGACTTTATTGTATGGAGGGCACTGGCGAAGCAAAAAAATGACAGCCCAATCAACAAGCGAAGTTAGAATAGCGCCGTGTTCTACGCTCAGGAATTACACTCGATTAAAAGGGTTGGTTTTTCTTTCGTTTCATGGAACTAGCACTGCTTCTTATTGTAACGCCGTTTCAAGAATCCTCTTTTCAAGCCGCAGAAGCAGGATACAAGGAGGGGGGTGCAGGCGGTCGCCATGCATCTAGACTATGTCTAGACTGAACATCGCTGGTTCTGCAATGACCACGGGCTGGTTACAGGCACGTTTTGGTCACTTATGGTCGCCCATTCGCACTGTGGATTTACAGTGTTCAGTGGATTCGTTGGGTAATGTAAGAACAAACATCGATATGTTTTGCTTATTCAAGAAGTACGCAACACGTGTTCAGAGTTTGATGTACATGGCATGAAACACTGCAGGTGTTACATAGCAGTGACGATTTGCACTTTTTCTTTTTTTAGTAGCCTACCTTGGCAAATACTTTTTTCATTGGAAAAACCGCGTTATGCTACATGTGGGACCCTTTATTTGGATGAAGACGAGAGTACAGTAAATGAGCACGACACTGATAGGTATTATATTGCCATTGTGTTACCAAAACATGATCGAAATTCAAATGATAAAGAAGGAGACGATGACAACTCAGACGACAACTTAGGCACTTTCATCGTGAATGTAGGTTGGCTTATCGAAGCTTTTATTTCGGCAAACTTACTTCTCGTGTATCCTATTTAAATGACATGACCAGGGAACCTAGAGCGTAACTGCGCTTTAGTTGAGCACCTCATAAATATCCATACTTTACATAATAGTAAAATTAGGAGTCCCTATAACAGAGCATCACGATTCGATGACGATAATTAGCCCAGTTTTCCTCCTTACAAGTCTTCAGAAAGGAGTAATGCTAGAATGCCCCTATATTTCTCAAGTCAAGGTATTTAGCACTGAGACAAAACAGACCCGAATAAAAAAAAATATTACTTCACAGACAAATTAATACATTCTTACAATTACCTATCAGGAAAATGCAGCAGTTGTCATGCTTTTCTTCGTAAATTGGGCCAAAACAAATGCAGTAACAGAAAAAATATACTTTCCTTTAGTTCAGCCATTTTTCCTTCAGCTCAGCCACGAATTTGCACCTTTGCTGTGGCACAAGGTAGTTTTGGATCAGAAAGTAACATTGACAGCACGCATTGTGAGCGGATATTATGTAATGGTCATTATCTTGTACACTTGGGCCACTGCAAAAGCATGGAATCGATCGGCCTATTAATTATTCTGACTTCTTGCGCAGTTGCCGTGGTGCGTGCCTTTTCTGGTAACCATTGGCTTACAACGAAGACGATGTGGTGACTACCAAAAAGCGCGCAAGTATGACTTATCGCTGACAAAAAGCCAACGTGTGTGGTGAACCACCGCTCAAGCCTACTGCTGGCAACTACCTGAAGGCACTAAGGCGCTTATCACTGCCACCTCAACTCAATCGTTCTGCGGGACTGTGTTCAGCGTGCACCGCTTTGCAAAAACGAAAGCAGCTCGCTGTTGCGGAGTTGGGCATTGTGGATGGTGAGCACTGAGACGGCAAGTGTATAGCACACGCTTTCTTGAGGCGACAGCCCATAGGCACCTCCGTCCGCTGCCAGGACTGCTAGAGCATCGCTTGCAGAAATCTCGCAGCGTGGCATTACCCAACAGGCTCCTCGTTGCTCCGTGCCCGGTCTGAAGAGGAGTTGGCGCAAGAAGCTCGACACGTTGTGTATGCCAAGTAGGCGAAGTGCTGCACGCAACTAGCCAGTAGGCAATCCGCTCTCTATGACCGTACTGCGTCTCGAAAAAACTGGGTCAGTTTTCGCTAAGTAGCAGATAGCAGTACGCATTGATCGTGGACAGCCATTTATGCCCGTTTCGTTGCTGTCAGTCGCTGCGTTGTATGCGTGTCCCGAACTCCGCAGTAGTTTCTAAATACTCTTTGGGGTCGTTATCTCTTCATCGGATGGTCACGCGAGAATGCCAATCATTTCTGAACACTGGCAAAAAGAAAGAAAAGGCTTCGTGTTGGACTCGTAAGGCAATATTTGCTGTGGCACTGTATGTATTCTTTCTTTAGGGGTGATGGTGTACGGAAATAAATGCAAATTAGTACTTGCTTGGTCATAGGCGTGCAATAGAGAGGGGGGGGGAGGGGTGCAAAGCCTCCAGCCCAATAAATTGACATAATACGGAGGGTGGGGTGAGAGGGGGGCATAAAGTCAGCACCATCCATGGATATGATAAAGAGGGGGCGCTGCGACAAGCCATTCCCCCCCCCCCCCACACCCTCATAAAGGGGAACCCCACGCACACTTCAGTACTTGGTTGTTGATGCATTCTACGTCTGGTTGCATTCCCGGCAGGTTCTTGGCATGTATGCACGTAATAATGAGGTTTTACTGTAGGGCTTTGATTGTGTGTGTGTGTGTGTGTGTGCGCACATGCATGTGTGTGCAGGCTGATATGAACTTGGACACTTTCTGTGTCATCTCCGTTCCAGCCGTGTTTGTCCCCAGCATTTGTGTGCTTTTGCTCGAGCGTAGAGCGTACAATACACGAGACAGGACAGCGATGGCAAAAGCCTGCAGAAAATGTCCATGTGAACAAAAGCCCGCTAGGAGTGTGCAAACATGAAGTGGACATTCCAGTTCTCTCACCTTCTCATTTGTACTAGTCAGAAGTTGTGTTTTGTCAATGCGAGCATTTGAAAATGTACTGTAAAGTGCCGAGCGAGCGCTCCCCTCCCCCATACTGTAAAGGATAATCCAACCAGATTTGGGAGGGGGTGCTCATTTCAGATCTTCCAAAAGATGGAGGGCGGGGGGTTGCTTGGCATTTTACGGTAGTCTTGTTCTGACGTAGCGAAGAGGCCGCATCTTCTGCGTGCCGGGCACAATCAGGTCTGATTTTACTTGGCGAATCCCAATATGAATTATCTCAAATGTTAAACTTTAGTCATTTCTGAAGATAAGTGTGCCACAAATTGGAATGCTTTACAACCTTCTCATGAAACTAAGTGCTCTCAAGTCAGTAATTAAATAAGTTGATAACAAATTTTTAATAATTAGTCTTGTCAATGTCGCTTTAGTGACATGTAAAGTATTTTCACGTATAAAAATGATTGAAGGATGTGTGTACAAAAAGTACTGGAGCCTGACTGGTGTAGAATTTCGATTAAAGAAGTATTAATTATAAAAAAAAAGAAACACACTCTGTGTATATATGGTACGTCTGGTTGGTTCAAGAGTACTGAATATTTAGTAAGGACCACTGGAATTGTTTGTTTCTTGTAAATAAAAAAAAAACTTCAATTAAGAATGGTTATCTCACCCAGAAATCGGCTCCAAAACTAATTTGCATTGCTCCAAAATACTCCTATTGCTCCTAAGCTTCTCTGAAAGTCACGTTTTTTTGCTTCAAAGCTGCTCCAAAACAGAATTATTCCTACTCTCTGAGCTTCTACGGAAGACTGAAGCTGGCTTCTACCCCTGTGAAAGTCAAATCCTGCTGCTATTTGAAGTTTATTCCAATTTTCTTCGAGTTAAAAAAATAATGACATTTGCGCATGCCTTTCTTCATAACTAAAACAATGTTGGGCAGGTTAGTTGGGTCATGACAAATGTGCTCGTGTTGCTTTATGTAGTCAAACCCTTCTACGAAAGACTGATGTGAGAGACAGATGGGTATAATAGACCCCAGCGTGCCTACTTTGAAATAGGGCTTGATAAGAAAATGCACGTGTGGCACCTCGCTCATAAGAGACATCTCATGTCTCTTATAAAAGGGTTCAATCGTAACATGTGGTATAAACTATTACAATTCGATTGAAAGTTATTTCACCAAATCAACGTTCGCTTCAACTCCGCTTAAAACCTAAAGTTTACCATTAGCACTAGCCTAGTTCTAAGGTGTGTTCATTGGCCAACCAATGTTGTCACACCCTGCAGGTGGCTAGCATGGTGCCTGGCCATGGAGAAGAACAATGCAGAGATCGCTACAGGGAGTTCTTTGACCCGTTGTTCGCCTTGGGCCCGTACACAGCAGAGGAAGATTACACGCTCTTGCTGCTTATTGAGAAGCACGGACTTGGCCAGTGGGTCAAGGTGAGCATGTGAAGGAGCTCGGCGACCTTTTTGTGATGGCATTGAAGTGATGTTGGGCGGTTCTACGCTCAAACCTCGATGTAACAAAAGCGGATGTAATGAATTATCGATTATAACCAAGTGAGTGAGGAATGGTTTTGTTGTAGGTACTGTGATACATCATCATCATCATCATCAGCCTGACTACGTCCACTGTAGGACGAAGGCCTCTCCCATGTTCCGGCAGTTAACTCGCTCCTGTGCTTGCTGCTGCCAATTTATACCTGCAAACTTCTTAATCTAATCTGCCCACCTAACCTTCTGTCTCCCCCTAACCCTCCTGCCTTCTCTGGGAATCCAGTTAGTTACCCTTAATGACCAGTGATTGTCTCGTCTACGCCCTACATGCCCGGCCCATGTCCATTTTCTCTTTGTGATTTCAACTATTATATCCTTAACCCCCGTTTGTTCCCTAATCCACTCTGCTCTCTTCTTGTCTCTTAAGGTTACATTTACCATTTTTCTTTCCATTACTCGCTGCGTCGTCCTCAATTTAGGCTGAACCCTCTTTGTAAGTCTCCAGGTTTCTGCTCCGTAGCGAAGTACCCGCAGGATACAGATGTTATATACCTTCCTCTTGAGGGATAGTGGCAATCCGCCTGTCATAATTTGAGAGTGCTTTCCAAATGTGCTCCACCCTGTTCTTATTCTTCTAGTTACTTCAATCTCGTGGTTTGGCTCCGCGGTTATTACCTGCCCTTAGTATACATAGTCTTTTACAACTTGAAGTACACTATTACCTATCTCGAAACGTTGCTCTCTTCCGAGGTTGTTGTACATTGCTTTCGTTTTCTGCAGATTAATTTTAAGACCCACCTTTCTGCTCTCCTTGTATAACTCCGTAATCATGAGTTGCAATTCGTCCCCTGAGTTACTCAGCAATGCAATGTCATCGGCGAAGCGCAGGTTACTAAGGTGCTCTCCGATAACTCTTATGCCTAACTGTTTCCATTCTAGGCCTCTGAAAACCTCCTGTTAGCACGCGGTAAATAGCATTAAGGAGATTGTATTCCCCTGTTTTACGCACTTCTTGATTGGTATTCTGTTGCTTTCTTTATGAAGCACTATGGTAGCAGTTGATCCCCTGTAGATTTCTTCCAGCATGTTTATATATACTTCATCGATGCCCTGATTCCGTAATGTATGCATGACTGCTGATATTTCTACTGAATCAAATGCATTCTCGTAATCTATGAAGGCTATGTATAGTGGTTGGTTATATTCTGAGCATTTTTCTATTACCTAATTGATAGTATGAATGTGGTCGATTGTTGAGTAGCCTGTTCGAAATCCTGTTTGTTCCTTTGGTTGATTGAATTCTAATGTTTTCTTAACTCTGTTAGCACTTACTTTTGTAAATAGCTTGGAGAGCAAGCTGATCGGCCTGTAATTCTTCAAGTCCTTGTCATCTCCTTTCCTAATGATTAAGATGATGTTAGCATTCTTCCTAGGCTGTGCTACAAGTATATGTTAACAACGAATTTTCGAATACAACGAAGTTGTTTCGTGGCAGGTGTGATTGTTTCAATGAGGTTTGAGCAGTTTAGTAAGCTTATCGAATAGCAAGCTTAGCGAAATGGAAAGAGACATGCACAGTACTTTAAACGACCCCTAATGTTTATCGCACCCACTATTTTTCAAATTTAGCATTACCGCATTTACGTAGTTAACGAGTGTATGCGAAACATGTGTGAAACTCGCTAAAGACAGCCCACATCGAATTGATTGTAGGGACGGTGTGCAGGGATACACTTCTTTCGTAGCAAACCACTGTGTCTAAAGGTTTCGCTTGCCTTCAGTTAGCTTTGACGAGCCAGTCTTAAAGATTACTCAGCGTAGTCTTTGAGACCACTTGTCATTTCAAATGTCCCTAGGCGTAACCAGAAGATGGATGTCAATAAATTGGCAATATGAAAATTTTCGCTTTTGGTTCATAGTTCATATTCATTTATTGGTAATGAAAAAAAGTTACGGTGTGCACAGATAGAGGTGAGCATTTTCATCTTTTCATTTTTTTTAACATATTTGCCCTCTGCTAGATGACACCACTGACCCAGCTTGGGCACGTTAATGCTATCTCGCTATACTAAGACGCGCTGTCCGCAATGAACGTTAGCGGTACAGTAACGCTATTTCCTTTAACTCCCACTATCAAAGTAGCGGTAAACTGTAGCTGTCAATTGGTGATACAACCCACCGAACAAATAAAGGAAAGAAGTGTATGTTGAAAGTCTTGTTTTCTTGGTTAGGCCCAGTATGAGCTCTAACAGACAATCATGCCAAGAAAGTATAAGGGATGTTATTAGAAGTAACTGTAATGTAAGTGTGACAGACGAAAAGATAACGGACCATGGGCAGGGACCAAACGTGCGATCTTTGAATGAACAGGTTCGATGCTCTACCAACTGAGCTACCATGGTGGCTATTCGCCCACCCACTTTATTGGGTGTATATGTGAATTAAACGTGAGATCGTCAGTCAGTGCCACCTGTAGCCATGACAGCGAGTGTGGAACACACTCTGTCTGCCTGCTTGGCGTTACATAGCACAAGATGTTACTACGAGCCGGGGGCTGTCGAATAATCTCTCGTATACAATCTAAAGGCACCAAGTCTTCCAGAACGAGATCCTCGCTATGAATGAAGGAAAGAAGTGTACATTTAAGGCCTTGTGAAAATGAAATCATAGGTCTCACATGTGTGTGTGTGATTAGTTTTTATTTTTGGTTGTGGAACACGTTGAACGACCCATCAAACATCTTAATGTCTTTGACAGAGTGGTTGGCTTCAGTCATAAAACTACACTGCGTTTAATTCGGGACGTGTTGACTATGCCGATGGTCAAATTCATCCGATGAACCATATATCTCGCGCACTTTTTCCCGCAAGTCACAACTAGCATAAAAAAGTTGCCTACACGAATGTAGCCGCCACCGCTGAAGGGGTTACATCTGGATATATAGCGTGTAGTTTAGTGCTGTCTTCTTGTATGATTTGGTGTGTAACTCACCATTTAACAGACAGTGGGCTATTGAGTTTCAGGTGAGGCGGTGGGTAAAGGCGCCTCTGCAGGCTATAAAACTTCGTAATATTTTTGAATGTAGTCATTAGGTCCTCCCACTTGGCGGCAGATGCTGATGGAAAATGCTGTGAAACATCTCTTGCCTTTCGAGCCTCTCACCGTGGCCCTTTCGCAGCTGGCACAGGAGATGCCCTGGCGTTCGATCAACTCAGTGAAGGGCCGCTATCGGCTGCTGTGCGAGACCCTTGGCATCGCGCGTCCAACCCCGGTGGACCTGGAGCGCTACTTGTCGGGTCCTGTGGGTCCCGTGACGAACGTAGAGCAACGCACTCGACGGATGAGGAGGGAAAAGCGCCTGGAGGTGTACCGGACCCTCCTGTACCTGCACCTGCTGCGGACCAAAACAATGAAGCGTACTGCCGCAATGCTGCTAAAGGTAGCCAGGGCACCCGTTGGCAACCATAGCGCATGATGTTCGGCTAGTCGGAACAACCGCATGGGCTGTTCCGCCTTTGGGGAAAACTCAAAGCTCATGGTATTGCGCTGTGGAGAGCACTGGAGTCGGGCGGCAGCAGCAGCCTGCACATGACCAGACCCCCCAAGAACGGAGTCTCTAACCACGCTGTCTCCTACGACAGCTTACGCTGGCCGCATTTTCTGGAAGCGCGCTACTCTTGGAAGCAGCATGCAGATTTTGTTGTTATTGAGGGAACCGAGCCAGTAATTTTAATTTAACGTGCAACAGCAACCTCTGAGTTTTCAGTGGCACTAGTGGGGCTCTCCCACCTTTTATTTGACGACACGCTTTGTTTATACTGAGAAGCCAGGATACTCAGAGTGCACGCGTGTTTCTTCACTTTGTGTGGCGCCGCAATATGCGGCAACAACCGAGATGCACCAAAATCGGCGCGCAATGTACTCTGTCTCCGAGCACTGCCTCAGAGAGTAGCGCACTTCCCAACAATATAGCCGGCATGCACAACCACGGCAGACGGTGCGGTTCATTGGTATGCTTTTCAAATCCGTGTGCCTGCACGGGCTGCTTGCTGCTGGCATGTGACAGCAGTGCTCACCACATTGTAATAAATGCAGTTTTTCGCAGTGTATAAGACAGCCAGTACAGTATACACTCGTTCAGATGAACTTCAAGGGACCACAATCATTTGTTTGTCTTATCAGGCATTTGGCTTATCAGAAGTGCCCCCAAAAAGAGCAATGCTAACATGCCAGGTGCATCCAAAGATGTTGCTTGAAAACATTGAATGTAGCTTCATTACAAGGAGAGAAAAGAAACTAGAAAAAGCATTTATTTGGATCAGCTTGATAAAAACTATGCCTTCGAGTAGAGTATCCACACGAATCTAACAAGCACTCGATTTCAAGAGTTCATAATAAATACGCACATGAATAAATTGCTACCACATTTTAACAATATTACTGTAGCACGACCCTATTTTTCCGTCTCGTTAAGCTCTGGCGTTCTGTTATTCATTGCACTCCTGTTGGGGAACTGAAGAACATGCCAAGAGTGCTCCCAAATGACCACCCTAATATGCCTTTAGAGTCAAATCTCAATAATTTGAACTCGAATGGGCCAGAAAATGTTCGAAATAATGAAAGCTAAATGAACAAAGAGCTCACCATGCTGTGGCGCATGTGCATTGAGCTAACACAAGAGGGGGAAGTTTCAGAAGGCTTATATTATTCTCAAATCACAGGACATCTATCATTAATTGAAGTAATCAGTGATGTGCATCTGCACATGTTTGCCTTGCAGCGATCAATGAATTTCGCACGCAGTTTGCAAAGCATTTCTTCTTTGGCTTCAACATTCTCCTGGCAAGAGAAGTTGCGCGTTAATGTCCAGCGCCAACACTCTCTAAAGACAATGGCAACGACTGCGTCTCCGCTGCTACCCTCTGTGCTGCAGTCGGAGCGTGGCCAGCTCATGACAAGAAAGGAGGAGTGTCTCCACGCAGAGAGAAGCAGATCGGCATTTGAGAGAGAACCAACACTCCGCGGCAGCTTTCTTTTTTTCTCTCTCTCTTCGCGCATGGTGTTAAAAGGACAAGGGCCTTTACGTGGCAAGGACAGGAAAGGGGGAAGCGTGGCACAGGTGCATTGCAGATTGGCATTTGCAAGAGAGCAAACATTCAGTCGCAGCCTTTTCTTTCTTTTTCTTCTTTTCCTTCGCGCGCAGCGTTATGGTGTCGGAGGTGCCGCCGCGAGATTGGGCGTGGTGTGAGAGCATTTTTGGAGTGCGGTGTGTTCGAATGAACCGTTGCAAGTGCTTGCGCGTTCGAATTACAGGGCGTTTTTGCCCGTTGAAATACACATAGCTTTGACGGGACCACAGTGTGAGTTCTAATTAGTTGAAAGTTTGAATTAAGCATGTTCAAATTAATAAGATCCGACTAGTTTCTCACAAATATAAAAGATACAGGGAGATCTGGCAACACCGTCCATGTGACAGGGTTCGTACAGGTCCTTGAAATCCTTGAAAACTTTAGAATTTGAAAATTGCATTTTCAACGCCCTTGAAAGTACTGAAATTTTTTGCCATCCTTAAAAATCCTTGAATTTTCTGAGCAGTTCACATTCATATCGACATCGCGACCTCCTAAATGTGGTACATCAGTGTGTGAACCTGTTAAACTCCGTATTTCTGAAGCAGTATTGCGGCGTGGGTGCACATGGTCTCATTTAGCAAAAGGCATGTGAAAAAAAGTTTGTGGCGAGGGTGAAGCAGTGAATGTGATAGCAAGAAATTAGAATGTTGCACGAAGAAGGGCAAGCAACCCTATATATGCAACACGCCGCTCAAGCACGAAGGATGCCCGAAAAGAAAGTGCACAAGGCGGGTGCTGATGAACGACTGTCATAGCTCGGCACTGGAAGCGTGCTGCTTAAACAAACCAAGAACAGTGCTAGAAAAGAACACACATGTATTCGCAGGATGAGTGTAAATTAACCACTGTCACAGTTGTTACTTCTTAGTTCTTGAGCCTTGTGCCGGGTGTCAGCTGTGCACAAGCCAACATTTTTTAGGGGGTGGCGCCATCAAATTTCAAGGCTACCATATATGAAAGCTAAATGAACATGAAATTAAGGATACGGTATGTTTGGTGCATGCAGTTGCCGAGTTTCATTTGACAGATAATAAAGGCGATGATCATCGGCTAGACTTCGCACACGACATATCGATGCGGCAAGTTCGGGGTGCGATCATTATCGAGGGGAAAAAAATCGAATTTAGGCGGCAAAATTTAGGGGTGCGATAATTACCCGAGTAAATATGGCATAATGATCACACTTTTTTTTTTTCAAAAAAATTGACTCCGACTTCGGGATGCGATCATTGCGCGGGGTAAATTTTCAGTGAAAAAATGTTCCGAGTACCGAAAACGCGAAAAGGTCGCTAACCAGAATTCTTACGATAGCTATCATGAACATAACCAAAAATAAAAGTAAATTAAGGCTTACCTTTGTAAAAAAATGCATGCATTACGCAGGAGCTACATGCATGGCACACTGCCCTTTTATTTTTTACCTCTCTGACCCCCTAACATTTATTCAGATTCCAAAGCGTGACTTGCGTCAGTGTCGTCGCCGCACGATTTCCTGTCAGAACCGGCAGTGTCTTCACTGTTCCACAGAGGGTCATCTTCCGATCCGTCGAGCGCGTTGGAAATGCCAGTCTTTTTGAAGCCCTTGACGACCACCTCATCAGAAATGGTACTCCACACTTCGAGAATCCATGAGCAGAGGACTTCAACGAACGGTCTCTTGATTTTGCCACTTGGCGTGAAATCGTGGTCGCCCGCCGCCATCCATTCTGCGTACAGCCTTCGGTCGTTATTTTTGAACCGTTTGTTCAGTGACATGTCCAGAGGCTGTAGCAGCGAAGTTAGACTTCCAGGGATCACTGTGATTTGCGTGCGCCGCTCCTTCAGCTCGGTATGGACACTGTCAACGAGATGGCCTCGAAAGCTGTCCAGCACAAGAAGTGAAGGAAGCAGAAGCGCTCCTGCTCTTTACCCCCAAGCCGTCTTGATCCAATCGACCATAAGGTCGGCCGTCATCCACCCTTTCGCTTGAACACGGATGTGGATGCCACGGGGAAAGTTTCCCTTCGGAATTGTTTTCTGTTTCAGAATAACGTACAGCGGCAGCTTCTGCCCATCTGCCGTCACTGCGAGCATCAGGGTGCATCCCTGCTTCTCTGCACCACAGGTTTTCACAAGGACGCTTCACGGAATATTGGATCCGAATTTCGTTGACGCCGAAATGTCTGCCGGCAGCGCGGTTGCCGTGCTCTAGCTCGTAGTCAAGCCCCTTCACTTTGAACGCGGCAGTAAAGCTTGAATACCGCCCTACAGTTAAGCGGCGCTTCAACAGGCAATCACAAAACACACACAAAAAAAACATGGTCTCAGAAAAAAACAAAAACATTGCTGCAGGATGAACACAGGTCGACCAACAGGTGGCCGCCGCTGTAACAGTGTGGGATGTCAAAACAAACATGGCGGCTGACAAAGCGAAGAAACCGCATTTTTTTCTTCTTTTTGTCAGTTATGGAGGTTGTGAGTACGTCACGCGCGTCAGAACAGTTTCTTTCATCTAAATAAGAATGCTTTCATTTAAATCAGTAAATTTACAACATTAGCATAGGGATGCCTGCTTTCAGATCACAGAAACAATGATAGACGCGTTCAGCTGCCACAAACATGAAAACACATGGCGGTCATTCAGTGAAAACTGTGGCATTTGCCCTTACTGCAATCCTAAATGGCACGTTCTCGCCAACTGTGGGCAAAAATTAAGGATACACGGTATGTTTGGTGCATGCAGTTGCCGAGTTTCATTTGACAGATAATAAAGGCGATGATCATCGGCTAGACTTCGCACACGACATATCGATGCGGCAAGTTCGGGGTGCGATCATTATCGAGGGGAAAAAAATCGAATTTAGGCGGCAAAATTTAGGAATGCGATAATTACCCGAGTATATATGGCATAGCAAGCACCGTGTGGGTTTAAGAATATATTTTAAGTCCCTTCCCAAGTGTACCTAAATGCTCATTCCACTAATCAAGGCCCATCGCCAGCGCGTCCAACACTGACGTAGCTCTATAGGAAGGGCAACGAAAGTTCTAGTGACATTGGACCAGATCTGTAGTCCGGTGAGTGACCTCCGTACTTCCACCCTGTACATACTGGCAAAACGTCGCGGCTGCTGCAGGTAGTGGAGAGTTCGTTTTGTAGGTGCTTGTGTGGCACATGTGTGTGAGAACTGACAATACTCAGCATGACGCGTGCAAAGCTTTGTGATCACGTGACTAAGTCAGCTACACTGCTATGTATCTGCCCAACTCGGTGCCCACAAACACTAACTCTGAATTGTCTATATCAAAAAGGAAGCAAATTATATAGCAAGAATAAATGAACCTTCGTGCATGTATCGTGCTTATTGGAGCTATAATTGAAGCTTGCAGCAAAGAGCATGCAAGCCACAAATATTGTGGCACGACTCCTTTAAGGCCTGACTACACATGGCCTGACTACACATGAAGCCCATCAGCGCAGAAGTTTCCGACATGGCATCGTGCTCTCTCCCTATGGAGAGAGTGCGAGAAGTCAATGAGACTACGCTCTTGTTTTTATAATTGAAATATATATATATATTTATTGTAAGTGCAATAAAAATGGTCATTTTTGAAAATTTTTGAGTGAAAAATTTCAAGTTAGCATGCCCCTTCGAGTCCTTGAAAAACTTGCAATAGGTACTGGAAAGTCCTTGAATATCCTTGAATGTACGCTTTGAAAACTTGTACAAACCCTGCTGTGAATTTCCTGTGTTGCAATAGGAATAATGGGAATGGGGAATATGTGTCGGCCAAGGTGGTATTTGCTGGTGTTGAGCAAAGCTTGGCCTTTTAAAATTGCTGCTTGCTGGGCTATTTGGCTGATTTCAACACATGTAACAGCGTGCAAAATTGGGTGCAGTCGAATCTCACCATAACGAAGTTCGCTACTACGAAATTTTCACCACAACGAATAATTTTTGATTCCCCGCCAGCCGCCCATATAAAACAATGTAAAATATGTATTGTCACAACGAATATTTTTTCTGGATATTTCCACCTTAAGGAAGTTTTTGCGAGTACTACCCCATAAGGAAAAGGAACTTGCCTAGGATTGCCACGAAATTCACTCCCAGCTCGGCCATTTCTCGACAGCTGATGGCATCCAGAGTGCACGGCCGTATCACAACAACCATGTCTTGATTGGAGACATGCTTTCTGCCACCACACGCGCTTGTGTACAGCTTGAGATGCTTGTGTACAGCTCGCCCATCCATGACGCTGCCGGTGGACTTGAAGTACGTGTTGGCTGCGGCAGAATTACAATCTACTAGAACCCCCGCCATATGTTTTTGACGTCGCGCTCAAAATAAAACTAGCGCTCGTCGTCACTAGCCGTGCGATCGAGAATGACAACCACGCATCGTAAGGGCGCACACGTGAGCAGCGCGCACCTATCATCGTGCACGCACGAGCAATCGCGGTCTTCATCGTCTTGTTCGTCGGTAGCAAGTACGATGCCAAGTTGCGCAGCCAACACAGCCGTAGGGTAAAGGTAATAAAGCCATAAAACGACGCGAAGCGTTACGGCTTTCCTGTCATTCACTTATGGCTGCGGTAGTGTAGAGCTTCGTCACTTTCAGTTGCAATTATCATTTGGCTTCTAGCGAAGTTGTCGTACTCTTCTTTGCGACGCTCTGCATTTGGCACACCCCAAGGGTAGTCTGAATATCGTATTTTCTTCTGTGTAACTAGCGCCTCCTCTATTTTTTTGTGTTTGGCAAGGTACGGCTGAATTAGCAAGAGTTCAATGCATGTGCTTGTTGGGCTGAAAGGGTGCGTTGTAATCATGAGATCTTACCAAATTTTGTGGTATATAGATGAAATTTTGCTATAACGAAATTCCGTGACAAGGTATTTTGTCACGCATCCCACCAGTTTCGTTGTAGCCTGATTTGACTGTAGGACGACATAGTGTAAAGAGTGCTGACTTTCAACTGTGACAGATCGCAATAATTCTTTGTTTCTGTCACATTGTGCTGGCCACAAACTCTATTAATTATGTTTATGTTTACTTTAATAATTCTTTGTTTGTTTCTGTCACATTGTGCTGGCCACAAACTCTATTAATTATGTTTATGTTTGCTTTGTTTATTGCCATCACCCTGCTTGGACCTGTGTAAGGTCTGCAGTATTGAATGAAGGAAGAAACAAACTGTTTCTTCCATGAATGATGAAAGATATAAACACATACAAAGTGTCAGCAGGTAAAACAAAGAACGAAGCCATAGGAAAAAGCAATCAGTAAGAAATGTACTGGGTGATACCGATAAGTTCTAATCATGAAGTAAACACGTACCTAAATGAGCACAACAAGAATATAAAAGATGGAAACAAAAGGCTTATTAAGTTACACTGCGGCAACTGAGGTGCTAAGTCTATGTGTCAACGTTCCCAGCTTTGCAAACCTGAGTTCGAACAAAGTGCACTGTTTATTGCCACAAAGATAAGTGCATCAGGGAAATAGTTGAGGCGGTAGAGATTGCTTGTGCAAGAGAGGGATGTGTCAGCATGCCATGGGTTGCATTGACAAAGGATGAGCTAAGATTTTTAGAAACTAGGTGATTATGATTTAATGGTATCAATCACTACATTTCTTACTAATTGCTTTATTTCTAGGCTTTGTTTTGTGCACTGGTCCTTTGTTTGTATTTGTATCTGGTATTGTCAGCGGAATAAACAGTTGGAAGTCTGTGCTCTTCAGTCTGTGTCGTCCTTTCCAGTTTTGCGTGCTGTTACATGTGTTGGCCTGTAACATGGATATGGCTGTTCAAGTAAGGTTTCTCTAAAAGTGAAGCTTCATAAATGGATGCCATTGACCTGTTCTGCATTTAAAAAAAATTCCGCCATATCCACGAAGTGAATGATGATGAGTGGGCGAAGCTCCGGAGGTAAACCTGGTAAACCATGAATCCTCTGTACATTTTGCCCACTCGATTTTATTACATCGCTCCCCCTAGCGTACGTCGCCGCACTAAATCAAACGATTGCCTTCAACCAATGACACGGGCCATATGTGACATCATTCCTATTTTATAAGATCTCGCATCTTTCATCAACTACAAGTACCGCTTTCTAGTTTATAACATCTTGCATCTTTTCATCATCAGCTACAAGTACCACCATCTAGTAAACACTACAAGAACTAAACGAGAGGTGGCTACATACAGGAGACGGTACCGCCATCTAGTGAACACTGTAAGAACTAAACTAGAGGTGGCTACATACAGGGGACGGTACCGCCATCTAGTGAACACTGCAAGAACTAAACTAGAGGTGGCTACATACAGGCTACAGGGGACGCACAGCCCACGCCCTAAGGAGCTTCGCCCCTAATAGAAAATCTCACTCGCCTTCAGAATATAAGCAAACGGTGAAAGGAACAAATAGACGTCAAACCGTCGCAGAGTGAACGTCAACGTTGTTGTCAGTTTTCTAACCTTAGTGGCTGCTCACTACATTTCAGTTTTTTAAAACTGCACATCGAAGCAGAAGTTCGCCAAGTTAAGTGAAACATTTTGTGCACTGACGAGAAATTGTGCTGGCTGTGAACAGGCCTGGCAATAAAGAAGCGATAGTTCTCCTGAACCTTACGCTTGCGTAGAATGCCGTACAAACTTGTGAGCGATGGCAACCGCTTGCTGCTTCTTCTGCGCCTGGACTGTTCGCGACCATCACTGAGCTCATTGCGGCCGCCTGCAGTGCAAGACTGGTGCAAAGACTGATTCTAACCAGACTCGATCCCGAGGTGTCCGGTCTCTTCAGTAATGATGCCAATCCAAATCCGACAAGTATGCCAATCTAAATCCGACAGTGGCAGTATTTTTGTGCATACAAAAGTGCTGTTGTGCAAGTTTTTCTTCTAGGTAATGCTAGGGAACATTATGGCTTCATAGGCATACAGTTGACTGACATCACACGCAGCTGTTGCATGTGCCTGTGTGAAATGGCAGTGTGCTCTTGGCAGGGCCAAGGTGAACGGGCGGATTTGACGATGTGCATGAGGCTGTACCGAAAGGTCTGGCGGCTTGACCAGGAGAAGCGCCCACCACGAAGGCCAAAGCTAGTGCGCAAGGCATTGAACAAGGCCATTGCCCAGTACGCGCAGACAGCGTGTCGAGTCAGGGTCTCACCACCCAGCCTATGTGTCTACGAGCACCAGGAGTGGCATGCTGTGGCAAATGGTAAGCATAAGAATGTAGCCTTCACACCACTCTAGATGACAATTCAAAGGGGGCCGTAAAAAGGTTGCTTCTAAAATGACCCTGCGGATCCGCCAGCGGCCACATGCGCTTACTAGGTGACATCAGCTTAATTAGAGTAGACCTGCGTGGATACTTTGCCCATCGAAGAATGTAGAACTCTACGGTACCTGCGACCATGTGCAAGGGACAGTCATCACGTCTTTGCCATGTGCGATCTGCTTCTACTCTACGGGGGCAGACGTCACTCAGTTAGTGCGTATGACTTCTGGCATTTCCGCATAGTCATTTCAGGAGTGACCTTGTCCGCTACCCTTCTAAGGGCCTGTTTGTCTTTCTAGACACAACTATATTGCAAACCAACAGACTATGATGCCAAGAACGGTATAAGGGACATTACTCCTATTCTTTTGACAGTATTGTAATAGTTACAATATTAATGTGAATAAGTTAAAGGCATAAAAAAAAGCAACTTACTACTGGCCGAAACCTAGCCTGAAATTTTTGAATTTGAACGTTGCGGAAAATTCCATTTGTTCTAATAAATTATTCACTTCTCATGAACTTTGATGACTTGCGCACACCGGGCTTTTGCATGCACACCTCAAGCACATGCAAGTGGTGTGTTTTACATTGAAAGCTGTTATGAGATCACTTTTCGGGTCACGCGCAGTTGCATGTTGTCTGCTGCCGTTGCCGGTGTCTGTAACCACATCGCGCGATATTTAGAAAAAAAAAAAAAAAAAAAAGAAACTTGCACCAATGGCACAGGGGGGCTCGTACCCGGGTCCGCTAGGTGCCAGCCCAGTATTCTACCACAGAGCTACTCCCGTGCTTGTGAGTTTTTTTTTCTTTAATGAATGACATTATCACCAGTAAAGTACATAGAGCATACTTCGTCAGAAGTCAGGCAAACACACACAAGCGTCAAGAACGGGAAGCCACTTCGGAACGGGGTCGTTGTCAAACTTGCCTTAGGTTGGCTTTATGTCGGGAAACCAATCATGTTAATATGACTTGTAAAGTGTTTTAAAACAGTGAACAATCAGTCGTCGCACAATGTGATTAGCATATTGAGTGCGTCATATAATGCTCCAACCCATTACAAAAGCTTGTTCTTGTTTTGTTATTAATTGTGGCGCATGCCCTCTACAGCCATAATTTCTCATCGTCGTCAGCCACTGCATGGACAATTGGCACAAAATTTCTTGTGTTTAGCGGATACCACGCTTCTCAGAATTATGAGGAAAAATAGCATAGCGAATGCAGGCCTACCACCCAAAAGTTTATTGATGCCTTAGTGGGTACCAAGCAAGTGTGCTTGCATTAGTTACCCAAAGACTGTTTTGAAAAGGCTCTGAAGGGCCCCTCTTCCAGCTTTTGCTGTGACTGTGCTGCGCCCACCGGGCAGGATTGGCGTTTTTCTAATGTTCGCTTTTTTTTTTCATAAACTAGAAATATGGCTGCGTACTTAGTGGAGAGCAATTTTGGGGCACGGGGTGTCGTATACTGTAGTGGTCTCATATAGCTCGGTGTAATGTTAAAAACTTGGTGTAACGCTAAAAACGTGATATTTGCCTTGTGCACCACCAATGGCGGCGCTGTGAACCGCGCTCTGGTAACGTGGTAGGAGAAATTCAGGGCTTTTGCCAACTGCTAGGCCCTAGCTAGAGCAGCAGAATTTTCTTTATGATTTGCTTGCATCGCACGGCATTCCTCAACTACCGCTTGTATTATTGCGATAGCAATTATACAGACACTCTCTGCTGGATTTCCACACCATCCAAGTTGTTGCTATCGCATTCATTGCTTCGCCTTTGCGGCAAAGCCATAACTTTTTTTTGCTAGTAATTGTTCTTCAGATGGCTGCCAGCATTACAAGAAGTTAAGAAACGTTTACTTTTAACATATATGCCCACATCCATCAGGCTCAGGATCATTATCCCGAGCTAGTAGTGTAACTCACTTGGCTGGATAGCGTTCAAATAGCTTATGTGAAAGCGCAAACACCCTGCCATGTAAGGTAATGAGAGTACACCGCTTTGGAAGCAAAGAGCAATCAATATTACGGTTTCTTCGCAGAAGTTTGCATTGGGTGAACAGTTCACCGATGAGTGGGCTATTGCGGACAGGTAGTGTATCTTGGGCACGTTGAATACACATTTAAACTTGTTACACGTATTAGTGGCTCTCAATAAAAAGCCATCAGTGGGGCACTTGATGCATTTCACACCCTTTGATTAGAAACATTTTTGCAGTCTGCCACTGGTGAGCCACATTCACGCTTTCGATCGCGCAGTGCTGCCTGATTGGGTGTGTGTGCCTCTCAATGCTTATGACAGGATGACATGCACTCTAGAGCTCCTTATGCTTTGGCAAAACACTCCACTGTTTGTGTTTTATTTGACATTCATGGTACAGCTTTGTAAGAGTAAGGAAATTAGGTGAAAGTGTTCAGGAAGAGCACTATACATCATTATTTTGGCTGCTTTAGCTAGTTATTGTTATTTGTTACCATGCAGTAACAACATTGTCGCTTTGCATTGCCTAGTGATGGGGGGGGGGGGGGGTCAATCATGGTGAAGGTCTAGGAAGTTTGAAATGCCTCCAATCTTGGAAGCAGTACAAAACCACGCTAGGTCTACAAAGCATTCGAAGGGGGGCAGGGGGAGAACAATACACTCGAACCTCTGTGTACTGAACCCAGGTGTAATGAAGTATCGGTTATAACTAAGCAAATGAAGAATACTCATGCGATAGATATAGTGTTGGAAATATAACTTTTTATAGCGTTGGAAATATAACTATTTTCAAATATAACGAACCTGTTTTTATGTAAGATGCACCTTTATTCTAAAGAGGTCTGAATACAACCACTTATGAAAAAAAAGTGGGCTTCTTCTCTTGAATTGTCTTAGGCAAATGTAAACGGACCCTGTAAGTCTTCATAGTACAACAACGGCTCCACGTCCTGTCAGAAGTAGACTGTTGAGAGCAGTGTACAGAATATTGTTGCAAATATATCTTGTTACGACTTTCTGGCATGAAGTTTTGTATCTTGCTACATTAGTATGGTTACACTAATTCTGTTCAGCATGGTTTCAAACGACCATTAACGAGTCAGTAAATGTTCATTTATTAACATAAGGATTAAGATATGCTGTAAAAAAAAAAGTCACAGTTTCGCTGCGAGGGAGAAGCAACGAATGCGAGAGCAAGAAATTGAGGCCTTTGTCCGAAGGTGAACATAAAAGCAGGCTGACTAGTATGATAGATGGTGTAGAGGCCTTCGTCCAGCAGTGAACATAAAAACAGGCCGACTAGAATGATAAATAGTGTACGTACAATTTTTCGTGTGTGCTGAGCAGTATCGTGACCTTTTTTTCTCGGCAGTGCTGCATGACCTGCATGGCTTGCCAATGCCACCTCCGAACTCCGAAGTTGAGAAAGTGGGCACCGTCCCCATGTTTGAAGAGTTCTTCTCAAAGGAGGTGCTTAGCGTGCCAGGCGGATTTCAGCCTAACGATGGCAGCCTCGTACTACCCCTGCTGCCACCTAACGAGGTATGTTCAGAACATCTGTCATCTTTTTTGCCTTTTCTTTCCAGCTCAGGGTAGCCGGCTGATCTGAGAACTGGCTGATCTCGTTCCTCGTGGGGACCGAGTGTGCCCTCCCTATTTGGCACCTCGTTCTCTAGCTAGCGCAAGTGTTGGCCCTGTGCTTCTCATGCGTCGGTAACTGCCAATAATCAGCGACATGGTCCCCATGGCTTCGTCACAAGGCCTTCTTTCTGGTGCAAGCCGCGTGGCAGTTTTTTTATGCCCAGAGACGGGTGTCCGAGCATGCCCGGACAATGCCTTCCCCTCGGATCATGCTAGCGCATGTCACGATGCTTCGTCGATCCTCATTGGCTGCCCGTAACATCTCCCTTTCCTCTTAGTTTGCTTGCTCCCTGTGCTCTTGCGCGCTGTGGCAGTAGATACTCACAAGCATGCACGAGAGTTGGACGCACTGCTTTTGCTGGTGGCTTCTCAGACGTGCCCTCCAATGTTGCCCTTTGCGTGAGAGCCGTTAGCGCCTGCCGGCAAACATTCACTCCGCCAGTTTTGCAGAGTTGCTATGTTGGCCCACAAGCCCGTGATTGTCGCACTGTGTTGTATCTTGGGTTAATAAGCCCTTGTTTTATTTAGGAGCTGCCTCGAGTGCTGTTTCTGAACCGTGTCGAAGGGTCCACGAACCCGACTGTTACGTCGCCCCGCCGCGGTGGTCTAGTGGCTAAGGTACTCAGCTGCTGACCCGCAGGTCGCGGTTTCGATTCCCGGCTGCGGCGGCTGCATTTCCGATGGAGCCGGAAATGTTGTAGGCCCGTGTACTCAGATTTAGGTGCACGTTAAAGAACCCCAGGTGGTCAAAATTTTCGGAGCCCTACACTACGACGTCTCTCATAATCAAATGGTGGTTTTGGGACGTTAAACCCCACAAATCAATCAATCAACCGACCGTTCCGTCTCTGTGTGCGATGACAGTGGAGAACACCATGTCCCTTCCCACTCGCTTCTTAGTGTAAGCCTTTTGCTAAGCTGTCTCCACACCTTTCATATCATTGCTCCTTCCTAGACCACGCTGTTTGCTTTGAATGATAGGTAACAGAATTGAAAGGCATCTTGCAGGTCATATACCAGTAAAATAGATGTGTTAAAGTTAGTAAAATTCACCCTTCGTATAGCAAACCAGTTCATTAGAAGCTGGAAAAATTGAAAAAAGAAACAGCGGCAGTTTGTGGTTGGGCCAATGCGCATTTTAGACTTCGTAGATGCATTTTTATGTTCTGAAAGTGCATATCAATATCCCCGAGATTTTGTTAACTGCATGCCATTGAATATTTGAGCCTGGAGTTTGATCAACGAATTTCGTTTTAACGAAATGGCAGAAGATAAGGTGTTCGTTGTGGCAGAATATTGATGCATTGACTCCTATGGACTGCTGATGGGGAACCAACAATTTTTTGTTCCGAGAATTTTTCGCGGATGTTTCGTTGAAGTGGCGTTCGTCGTAGCGGGGTTCGATTGTAACTGGCAAGAAAGTGTAGGGAAGTATGGGGGAATTCATTTCAGTCAATGTCGCTTGTGGTAACTGGCTGTTGTGGCTACTTGCTGTTTAAAAATGCACATATGTACCCCATAAAGTGGGCTGAAGGATGACCGCCGCTGTAGCTTAGTGTGTACAGCATCGTTTGTGTTATTAGAAGGTTGCAGGTTTCAGCCCCTGCCAGCAGCACGTCATCTTTTCATCCACTTTGCTTTTTTCGCATTTGCATCATGATTACCACAAATAACATCTCCTATACTTTCCGTAGCTTTCTTGTCTATTAGTTGTAGGTAACATTGCATCCATCTATTTGTAGCAAGCTGCGAGAAAGTCTGTATGAATTTCTTTGTAAAGAAGCTTTCTAGTTTACGGGAGTTGGTCTTGGAGTGACTTCATCAACACCAAATTCAAACCAGGGAGCTTTGTTCTTGGGAAAACTATATGGAATTACACAGAAACCTTGATATAACAAAATATTGGCCATAATGAAGTAAATGAAAAATAGTCTTGGATGGATATAATGTTTAGAATGAGCCTTTATAACAAATTTTTAGATATAATGAACCTATTTTCATGTAAGATGCAACTTTGTTTTAATGAGGTTACTTCTACCTTCATCCTACAAATATGTGGATCATCCTACGTTTTTTTTCCTTTTGTTGCTTTGACATTTTGAATGAATTAAAGTTCACTTGAAAAGGTAATTTTCCACAAAATGAACTAAATTGTATGTTTGGATAAGTGGGCAATCTGAAACGAACAAGCAAATTTTAATAGCAAGAGAAAGAGTACTTTTTTCTCAAGTTTGAGAGCTGGCGATTACCTAAATTATTTTACATAGTGAAGGTGTCATCTTCACGGCAACCTAGACTCATGGGAAGGCTTAAGAAAAAAATGCAGGTTTCTGGGGTGATTGTTGTGAGTGGAGCTTTTGCACATGTTATGCTGTGTGGCTTGTCTCATATGCTAAAAAATATGATAGTTCACATAACTGCTGCTCTGCATACGCTCCAATGAGTGCACCACCAGAATGCACAAGTTACTTTGAAGAAGATTTGCCAGGTTCCTTCAGTAGCACCTTACTAGCCACTAGGGGTATGCAGTGCTGGAAGGATCAAGCTATACTGACTGTTGCAAGCATTCTTTTTTCTTTCTTATGTACTTTTTGTTTGTTTATGATTTTGTAGCAATTCGATTGTTAAAAGTTGGTATTGAAGCATAAAGGGGCCCTGGGGGGGGGGGGGGGGGGGGCTACACTTCATGAACATATAGCTGCCAACCTGTATTGCAGGTTTGCACAAGTATTTCAGAAAAGTGTTACACTGAACAGTGCAGGGAAATCAATCAATCAATTGATAATTGCATTTTAAGAACGTCCCAAAGTCCCCTGCTTTCTTTGTGGCAAACTATGCAGCAGACAGAACATCCTCTATACTGCTTTCATTTTGTACCTGATGGACTCGAAAAATTTTTGCACCATGATATTTATGGGCCACTGAAATCCTATTATGAAGCAATCACATGATTGCTTGCAAAGGTATCGCAGAGCTTCTTTAATGTTGCCCTGAAACACTTTTCAGCATCGTCAAACCAACGCCGCCGAACGGCAGTCAACGCTACCGAGAATATGCGAACGGAACATTTCTTTGATTTTGTGACAAGCAAATAATTGAAGATTTCCAAATTAAGAAAAGAGGCAATAAGTGCATAAGCCAAGCCTGTGTTCGAATAACAGATTCTGAATTTGCTTGTTTGGACGTAACATGGCTCAGGGAATTTGGTTTTTTGGTATGCAGTGGACTCCTCTTAAATGGAACTCGAAGGGGCAAGAAGATTTGTTCTATTTATGTGAAGTTTCATTCAAGTGAAGGCCACAAAATTAATGGAATATGACTTCACCTCAAAAGCACCAACTGTCGCTGACTGAACAGAAAGATTTCGAAGTATACAACGCCACTATAGTTGATTAGAAAAAAAAAAATTTTGCTAATATTGCTGACTCCGAAAAAAGGAGGGGATAACAATTTGCTTGGCCTTGTTCAAGCACTTTCTCACATACTAGGAGTGCATTGCTAAAGGGCTGGGCAGGAATTCAGTGCCATCATTGTGTTCAGAGTATCACTGCAACAGGATGACAGCATCTCTTGCTGCACTGTCAGCCACTGAAATGAGCTCGCGATCACACACCATCTCATCACCTCTTGAGCACAGGTCCTCATCTTGAACCTCAGCTATAGGTTCCTCAAGGCTGTCCTCAAGTTCGCGACGAGACGTCGATTGCTGCTCGGCGTGTGCGGACATGTGCGATCTCTCAATTGGCTTGGCTAGACAGAGCTAACTCTGGAATTTGTTTCATGGTTGCTAGACTGCCGCGGCCACTTCTGCCATTCATGGCTTTTGCGCGTTTTAGTTCCATTTAACCGTCGTAAGCAAAAAAAAAAAATGTTCCGGTTACACGAAACTTTTTATCAATAAATATATAGGAGACCAGCCAAATGTGCCTAGATAGTTTCGTTTATGTGGCTTTTTCTTTTAACTGAGTTTTGTTTAATGAGAGTCCACTGTATTTAGGGTTCAACACGTACCTCTGTGCTGTATGTGATTGTTTATCATAGCGGTCTTTTGTCGGTTCACACTGTTCATGATAATACGGGTGGTTTGTGTTTACACACATTCGTTCGGTGCATATATAAACATGTTCTTTCTGTAATAAAAATTTCCAGTAGCTAGTAAGTGCTCTGTTTTGTATCCTTTGTTAGTCTTCGTGCATATTGCGCTTGTTTCATCATGAACTTTTAGCAGCAAGCCCAACTGGCGGTTATCCGAGAAATAGGACGTCTACCAACCTAGAAAACCCGGAAAAGTCAGGGAATTTGTACCCTTCTAGAAAAGTCAGGGAATTTCTGAAAAATCTGGCGTAGTCATGCAAGCTGACTACAGTCTGTGCAATCATCACAAAAATAGACATTACCATTCATCAAAGCTTATAAAGCCACTTTTTCGGCTGCAACTACTGTGTACAGCGAGAAGATGCATGAAAAAAAATAATAAAAAGCAGTGCATAACTGTTGCTTCTTAGAAGCCAAGGGACACAGCTACCAAAGAAATACAAAATTTACTGATGTTTCGGCACCCCCTACGGGAGCCTTCTTCACAATAATATCCATAACAAAGACATAGGGTACTTAAGTATGCCGAAGTACGTGACATAAGCAATGGGACTGCATTGTCCGAAGTATCCCATCACTCCTGTCCAGTGTAAGTGCAGTTGTCTGTATGTGCTGGTATTCCAGGTGCAGGCAGGTGAAAGCTTTTCTTTGGCTAGAACACGCGCCTGATTAGTCAGTTTGGTGGCCTGTAGATTCCATGTGTTAAACGAGGGCATATGAGGTCACACAGTATTTTCTTACGTCATACTATTCATGTTGTTTAACTTTTTTTTTTTGATCAATGGTCTCATCGATGTACTGGTTGC